CAAGTCTCTCTATAATAAAGTTTCCTTTGGTAGCAAGTGGCAAAGATTCAGTTCAAATTTCAGGTCCCTAATATTTGAAAATTTATTGGCTTAAGAAACTGGAGATGTACTTCACAGATGTGCCTTTAGCTTCAGGCCTTACTAGATACAACTAGTCTTATGAAGACACTGTCTCTGAGCTCTGCCTTTCTCTGTATTAGCTTTCTTCTCAGCAAGTCATTTCTCTTAGAGTGTCAACAAATTAGCTGGTGATCCCATAGGGAAAACATGTCCCCGGGTTGGTTGGTGGTGATGGGACTGGGGGTGTGTGCCTGGCTGGCTCAGTCAGTAATGCATGTGACTCTTGATCTCAAGGTTGTGAGTTCAAACCTCACATTGGGTGCAGAAAGTACTTATATAAATAAAATTTAAAAAGAAAAGCATCTTTCGTGATAGTTCTAACAAAAGTCCCTGGGTCACCTGGAAATTTCTAAATCAATCACTGTGGGCTAGGAAGATTTGATACTCTGACCAGATAGGCATGGGTCACATGGAAACACTGAGGTGATGAAGAGGGGACACAGAGTGGGTTACCCACGATAAAGAAATTGTCTTTTACAACAAAAAGGGAGGGAGGGAGGAAAAGTATGGTGGGAAGGCAGACTCAAATCACCAGTCTACCACATTTCCTAGAAGAAATAGCTTATATGCCCTCACTCCCTAGTCCTGGATCTTGGAGGGGTGATTTCATTGGCTCATAGCTACTTGAATCAATGAGTTTATCATATTCAAAGGCTGAAAGGGAGAATATTTCAACTCGGGAGTGTGGTCAAAGAATGAATCTCTCATTGGGTCCATACACATACCTTGTTCTGTTGAACGTATTTCGATGCGCTTTTTTAAAATGGCGTCCAACAAAATGCCATCGACTTCTCTAATAATAAAGAAAATGTTGGGGCGCCTGGGTGGCTCAGCGGGTTGGGGCCTCTGCCTTCAGCTCAGGTCATGATCTCAGGATCCTGGGATCGAGCCCCGCATCAGGCTCTCTGCTCAGTGGGGAGGCTGCTTCCTCTTCTCTTTCTCTCTCTCTGCCTGCCTCTCTGACTATTTGTAATCTCTATCAAATAAATAAATAAAATCTTAAAAAAATGTTTAAGAATCTCTAAGAATTCAAACTCTAGGTGACTGTGCCATTAGAGTCATAATAGATTACTTTTTTAAAGAAATTCTCACAAGTCATCCTTAGCAAAAACCGCTCTTTGCCCCTTAGAGATTGCCTTAGTTAGAGGATACTGATTCCCCTTCTGTTTTCACTTTGGAATTATGTTCACCATTTACATTTTTTTAAAAATTGTGGCAGAATTTGCATTTTGATTTACCTGGTCCATTACACAATGACTGTTAGCTAACAGTTTAAAAAAGTGGCCACTCAGATCAGGTTAAAAAGATAATTGGGTATACTCTGTGGTGAACTCTGAGCTAATTCAAACATTGTCCTACAATCCTCAATATTGACATTCGGTGGCTGGGCTGCTAGTCACAGGCCGCTATGCTAGTCAGAGTTGGTTTAAAGACTTGGTATGTGTTAGAGACTAGAGCTCTTCCTGAATCTAAGAAGCCCACACTCTCCCTTTAACTATGGTATGTCCATGTGGACTGGCTCCTCCCCCACCCATTTCTTTTGGCCAAAAGAAGGCAAGGGAGAAGTAGAGGAGAAGAGTTTGATGGTCATGACAACTTCTTCCTTTCCTAAGATTCTCTTTAACCCTCAATTTTTTAAATTGACATATAATGTATTATTAGCCCCAGGGGTACAGGTCTGTGAATCGCCAGGTTTACACACTTCACAGCACTCACCATAGCACATACCCTGCCCAATGTCCATAACCCCACCACCCTCTCCCTACCCCCCTACCCCCTCAGTTTGTTTTGTGAGATTAATAGTCTCTTATGGTTTGTCTCCCTCCCAATCCCATCTTGTTTCATTTATTCTTTTCCTATCCCCCAAGCCCCCCACATTGCATCTCCACTTCCTCATATCAGGGAGATCATATGATAGTTGTCTTTCTCTGATTGACTTATTTTGCTAAGCATAATACCCTCCAGTTCCATCCACATCATTGCAAATGGCAAGATTTCATTTCCTTTGATGGCTGCATAGTATTCCAGTGTGTGTGTGTGTGTGTGTGTGTGTGTGTGTATAATCTCACATCTTCTTTATCCATTCATCTGTTGATGGACATCTAGTTTCTTTCCATAGTTTGGCTATTGTGGACATTGCTGCTATAAACATTCGGGTGCACATGGCCCTTCAGATCACTACATTTGTATCTTTTTTTTTTTTTTTAAAGATTTTATTTATTTATTTGACAGAGAGAGATCACAAGTAGATGGAGAGGCAGGCAGAGAGAGAGAGAGAGAGATAGGGAAGCAGGCTCCCCGCTGAGCAGAGAGCCCAATGCGGGACTCGATCCCAGGACCCTGAGATCATGACCTGAGCCGAAGGCAGCGGCTTAACCCACTGAGCCACCCAGGAGCCCCTACATTTGTATCTTTAGGGTAAATACCCAGAAGTACAATTGCTGGGTCGTAGGGTAGCTCTATTTTCAACTTTTTGAGGAACCTCCATGCTGTTTTCCAGAGTGGCTGCACCAGCTTGCATTCCCACCAACAGTGTAGGAGGGTTCCCCTTTCTCTGCATCCTCACCAGCATCTGTCATTTCCTGACTTGTTAATTTTAGCCATTCTGACTGGTGTGAGGTGGTATCTCATTGTGGTTTTGATTTGTATTTCCCTGATGCCGAGTGATGTGGAGCACTTTTTCATGTGTCCGTTGGAATAACCCTCAATTTTTACATCCTATTGAGAAAGCCACAAATGTGGACAGTGCCAAGACGTTGAGACTAATCATCAGTGTATCTATCATTCATTCATTCACTCATTCATTCAATAAATCTTTACGGAATACCAACCAATGGCCACATTCTACACTAGATGCTAATATTACAGAGAACATGAAAGATAAAGTCCCTGACTTTATGAGACATTCCAGTGGAGAAGACAGACATAAACAAAGACCCCTGACAGCCAGCTGGAGAAAAGGATGTAGAAAGGTGTGTTAATCAGGGTCCAGCCATGGAAAGAGAAACCATTCTAGTCATGTCAGGCAGAGGGAATTTTAGGAGTCACACATATCAAATGGAAGAATGGAGCCATAGCAAAGATTAGAGGCTGCTAAAAATACTCTTGGTGAAACCCATGGGAGCTACACCAGCTCTGGTGCCTGTCACTGTCATCCTCTGTTTACTACGAAAGTGTCGCTTGGACTGAGGAAGTAACTGCTAAGAGTCAGGAATGGTCCCCTTTTACTGTACAAGCAACGATTACACTATTGAATCCAGAAGCAAGCAGGTTACTCTCCTCCTCCTACCTTATTTCCTGCTTATGCCTCCCCATGGTAGAAGTTTCTTGGAAGCTCCAGCATGAGAACCTGGGGAAAGCAGTTTATACACTCTGAGCCCCTGCCACTCAGTAGTATACAGGGCAAGTGTAGAAATCAGAAATGGCATATATATAATAAACACACACACACACACATATATATATAACTCCCGAATCAAGAGTAGAAGCCAGTAAACCAGTAGGATCCTAGCACAACAGACTGTGCAAGTGAAATGATCTGGCTGGGACTAGGGTACAAGTGGTTGGAATTCAACATATTTTTGAAGATAAGGTCAAAGAGAAGAGTCAAGGATGATTTCAAGAACTTTGGCCTGAGTAAACGGGATAAAGGATGTAGCATGTATTGAATTGGGGAACGCTGGAGGAGGTGTGCCTTGTATTTGGTGGATGACCTCAAGTGAACTTAAGATGCACAATAATACATTCAAACAGAGATGAACGGGATGCAGTTAAACATGGCCATGGGAGTCAGGAGAAAACGGGACTAGAGATGGAGTGTAAAGCCACATCAGACCACCAACCACAGGGTTAGGTGAGGAGCTTGTGAGCTGTGAAAAGAGAAGAGGTCCTAGGGCTGGCTCAGCAAAGGAAAAACCCGAGGGCTCACCCAGGGAGGTAAAAAGAAAACTAGAAGCGGGCATGGGGGTGGATGGATAACAAGCCAAGACAGGGTTTCTAGAGGTCGGCCTCTGGTCGGTGGGGTCAGCCTCCGGGCGATCTGACGAGGACCTGGTCTGATGTGTCAGGCAGCAAGCGGGGAGGCAAATCTGAGCAGGGTGGGTTCCCTCTCTGGAGGAGTCGTGCTGCAAAGGGGAACAGAAAAAACGGGAAGGCAGCTAGCAGGTGATAGGCAGCCCAGGGAGAGTGGGTTTTTTTGTTTGTTTGTTTTAATATTTTTTTTATTTATTTAGGGGAGAGAAAGAGAATGACAGGAGAGAGGTCGGAGGGAGCAGCAGACTCCCTGCCGAGCAGTCACTTAACCAGCTGAGCCACGCAGGTGCCCCCAGGAAGGGCGTTTTTAACGCCCTTCGCACTCGGCCAGCACAGCTGTCCATGAGCTCCTGGCTCCCTGCCCAAAGGAGGCGAAACTCAGAGAACTTTCTGGGAAAACCCTGCACGCTGCAAGCAGTCAGGCAGCGACGAGGGCGGGCGACGGGGCACTCACTGCCCACGGACGCGGCGAGGCCGGGCCCACGACCCTGGGCGGCGCCGGGCCTCTGGGCCCAATCGGAGCCACAAAATGGAGGAGGGACGGGAACCCCCTCTCTCGAGGGCGTCTCTGGGCGTTGGCCGCGCTTCCTGCCCCTGGCCGGGGCTCCCCGGAGCTCCGGCCGCTTCCCGGGCGCCCCGCGTCCCCCCATAAAGCCTCAGCGTCGGCTCCGAAGACCACCCGCCGCACCCCTCCCCCACCGCAGGCGCGGCCGCAGCTCCCACCCCCGGACCAGATCCCCGGGCGGCGTCCGGCCGCGGAGGTCACGTGGCCCGCGCCGGCCAATCGGCGCGCGGCTGCGGGTCGAGCCCAGCCCCGCTCGGCCGCGGTCCGACTGTCGGACTCGGGCGGGTGCGCAGAACGCCGCCGAGCCAGCGAGCGTTTGGGTGAGCTTCCTGAGGCTCCGGGTCCGCGCCGGGGGATGGGGTGGGGGGCGCTGGGCGGGAGGGGAGTGGCGGGGAGGGAGGCGGCGCCCGCCCGCGGGGCCATCCCTCCGGCCCGCCACGCCCCCGCCGCCGAGGCGCGCCGCGACCTCCTGTCTCTCCGTAGGACCAGGCCATGGAGAGCCGAATCCAGCGAGTTCGCGACGCGTTCGCGTCCGGCCGGTCGCGCCCGCTGAGGTTCCGGCTGCAGCAGCTCGAGGCCCTGCGCAGGATGGTGCAGGAGCGCGAGAAGGACATCCTGCAGGCCATCGGCGCCGATCTGTGCAAGGTACGCGCGCGGCGGGCGGCGCCGGACACCCGCCTCCCGCCGTTCCACTTGGGGACGGCATTCCGCCCGAGCTTTTGCATTTTTTTTTAATTTATTTTTGATTACGCAAGCACCGTGGGAGTATTATCTCCAGCTGTACTGATAAAGCGAGTTTCCCGAAACTCTTACCTTGCTTAGTCAGCGCTTCTGATTGGCGAGAACAAATAGACTAGTGTCTTCTGGCCTCTTCCTCTGCTGTGATTGCCTTTTAGATCCTTGCCTGTTGTCTGTTGCATTTGAGGTCCTTTTCCTTATGATCTGTAAGAATTCTTCGTATATTGTGGATTTTGGTCATTTGTCAGCTTAATATCTCGCAAAATGTTTTTCTCCGGGTCTATTTCTTGCCTTTTGGTTTATGGTTTCTTTTATAGACAGAGGTTTTTGGGTTGTCAGTTGTTGCGCGTAAGTTTTCCTCCCTGACTCTGTTTTAGGCCACGGCTCCTCAAACTCGAGTCCCTTGGTGAGTCACCTGGGGATCTTATTAAAATGCAAGTTACAGTTAAGTAGGTCTTGGAGGGCATCTGAGATTCGAAGTGTGTAACAAGGTCCCAGGTGGATACCATGTTGCCTACTTTGAAATCATACTTTTTCAAAATTATTTCATTTTCTTAAATTGAGGTGTAGTTGACATACACTATGATATTAGTTTCAGGTGTACAACTTAGCTGTGCAATATGGGTTTTTTCACTATTTCACCTTCTCTGGGTCCATCCATATTGTCATAAATGGCAAGATTACTTGCTTTTTTAGGGCTGAGTAGTATTCCATTCAAGACATACCGATGCGCGTGCGTGTGTACCACGTTTTCTTCATCTGTTCATCTATCAGACACTCAGATTGCTTCCATATCCTGGTTATACTCAGTAATGCTTCCGTGAACGTACGGATGCATCAATCTTTTTGAATTAGTAGGGGTTTTTGGTTTTTGCCTTTTTCTTTTGATTTTAGTTTTTAGAATCCTCTCTACACCCATTGTGGGGCTTGAGCTCACACCCCCAAGATCAAGAATCGCCTGCTCCACCGACTGAGCCTGCCAGGAACCCCTTAATTAGTATTTTCATTTTATTTGGGTAAATACTGGGAAGTGGAATTGTGGAATGGTGTATTTCTGTTTTTAATGTTGCATGCCCCCTAAAATTAGTCAATAAATCTCCTTCACGTATGGTCCGGGCGCTTTTCAAGCCGTCTCAGAGTGAGTAAGTTTGTGTGGCAACACCTGGAGACCAGAGTCTTGGTTTCTTGTAGCCCTCTAGTTCTTTACTAACCCATCCCCATCCCAGTTAAGCCCTGCTGATTTTCAAAGGCAGAGTTATAGAGGCTCCTCGGTGCGGGTCCCCAGGGCGGGGACACCTGATGTGGGGCTTGAACCCCTCCATCTTCAGGGGGGATCGCCACACCTGTGATGCCACTGCTGGTTGTGGGTCCCCGTGCCCATGGTGTGCGTTTGAACTAGATTGTGTCTCTACTCCTCCCACCCCGTTCCATGTAGCTTTTTCTTTATGTCTTTAGCTGTGGAAGAGGTGTTCTGTGGGTCTCTAGGTCATCCTCAGGGAGTTATTCTCTAGGCATTTGGAGCCTTGGAGAGGCCGTGAGAGGAGGTGAGCTCAGAATTTTCCTACTCTACCGTCCTCCCCAAAAAACCTGGAACCACTTTTTGAGTAGCAAGGTGTTGGGTGGTTTTAGGGTGTTAGTATATTACTGTTTTCTAGTAATATTGTGATCACTTTGTTTTTATGTTTTATCTTTATTCCAGGGGTAACAAGGCCCTGCTCTGGCTCTGTGAGACCCCCTCATTTCCTGCAAAGATTATCTTGAGCCGGTAGTAACACCAGTAGTAGTAGTAACAATGTGATATCAAATAAGGTGGCATAATTAAGATTTCAGAAAGGATGAATTAGTCATTCTGTAAACATCAGATATTTGAGTGAGTATGTAGGTATATATGATTACTAAAGAACAGTAAAGTCCTTGCCCTTGAGGGATTTACATTTGGGAAACAAACATAGTTATAAATCAGTGTGAGATGATGAAATGTTAGGATACACGCCAGAGGCAGAATTCCTGTGATTATATTATAAAGTGTGATCAAGACAGGCTAATATTCATCAGGGAAATCTTCCTGAAAGAGGTAATATTGAATCCTGACTTGAAAAGGCCTGCATCAGGGACGCCTGGGAGGCTCAGTCGGTTAAGCATCCGCCTTCAGCTCAAGCCCAGGGTCCTGGGATGGAGTCCTGTGTCAGGCTCCTTGCTGGGTGGGGAGCCTGCTTCCCTCTCTGCCTGCCTCTCCTCCGGCTTGTGTACACAGTCGCTCGCGCTCTCACCAATAAAAATCTTTACAAAAAAAAAAAATTAAAAGGCTTGAATCAGTAAAGAAGGATTTAGAGGGGCTGACTGTGTCAGCAGGCCCTCGCTGAGGGCGTGAAGGATGTGAGTGTGTGCAGTAAACCAGCTTGGTCTCATAAATGTCACTGCAGGTATATGTAATCTGGTTTTTGGCACTCAGGGCTGAGTGTGTCAGACTTGCGCAAGGTTAACTGGGACTCTCTGTGTAACAGAGTGAATTCAACGCATACAGTCAGGAAGTCATTACCATTCTTGGCGAACTGGATCTCGTGCTGGAGAATCTTCCTGAATGGGTCACTGCCACGCCAGCCAAGAAGAACCTGCTGACCATACTGGACGAGGCCTATGTCCAGCCAGAGCCGCTGGGAGTCGTACTCCTCATCGGAGCTTGGAACTACCCCTTTGTTCTCATCATTCAGCCACTGATCGGAGCCATCGCCGCAGGTCCGGGATCGCGGCTGTCTCCCTGACTCTTTGGAGGGGCTGCTTCTCTTCCACGGGTCGTAAATTAAGGAGAGTGGCTGATGGAACACATTTGCTATGGTGGTTTGCCTTGCTTTACACCAGCAACTACCAGGGATGCAAAAATATTATTGTCATAAATGTATATTTAGCAAATGCAAAGCAGTTTATTAAAGTGGAAGTACACTCTCAAGGTGGGTGGGCGGGCAGGTCCTGCGGGGTGGAACCGGCCAAAGGTGGTTTTGGGATGGGATATTAATTCGTCTGGGCTGGGAGGAGCCGTGACACACAAAGGAATTTTTTTTTTACCTTTTTTTTTTTTCTTTTAAAGTAATCTCTATACCCAGCGTGGGGTTCCAATTCACAATCCTGAGATCAAGAGTCACGCGCTCTGGACTGAGCCAGCCAAGCGCTCCTTTATTATCTTTTTTTTAAAGCGGGCTCAAGTGATTTGCATGGGGCCTGTTTTTTGAAATACGCGGACCGTGAACCCATGAGGGTTTGAAGTCGTGCAGTGACAGGTTCCAGAGTTCGGAGTCAGCCATCCGTGCTCTCGGGTGGTTGTGGTTGCCGGCTCTGGTGTTTGGGCGAACCATTTGATTGTGTTTGACCCGTTTCTTCATCTGGCTGGGGGCTGTGGGAGTCATGCTAGCTTGGGTATGTGGCAAATGCCAGGAGATTAATTTCTTTCTTCTGCTAGATCCCAGTCAACAATGTTTGTTGACAACAAGGCTTGTTTGCCCAGTAATTCCAAGGCAAACGGGAAAGTCTAGCTGGGAGAGTGGGAGTAAAGCTAGAGGAGGAGGAGAGGATAAAGGAGCCTACTGTCCGTGATGTGAAGTTAATGAGAACCAAGGAGTTTGAGGAAGTAAGACAAGATCTTGGGGCGCCTGGTGGCTTAGTTGGTTAAGCATTTGCCTTTGGCTGAGGTCATGATCTCAAGGTCCTGGGATTGAGCCCCAAGTTGGGCTTCCTGCTCAGCAGGGAGCCTGCTTCTCCCTCTCCCTTTGCCCTTCCCCCACTCATGCGTGTGCACATGCGCACGCTCTCTCGCTCTCAAATAAAATTTAAAAAACCAAAAAACAAAGAATCTCTTATGCTCGTTGAGAAAGTGCAGAATTCAAAGCTGCCAAAGTAATGGGAGTACCTAGCCTGTATTCCCACCATGAGCGCTGTTGTGGTAGGTTTTAAGGTTACTCAAGTGTTAAAGGATGCTCTCCTGCTTTTTTTGCTTTGATTAGGAAATGCTGTCATTATCAAGCCTTCTGAACTAAGTGAAAAAACAGCTCAGCTCTTGGCCAAACTCCTCCCGCAGTATTTGGACCAGGTAATAATGTCTTGCGCCATCCTCAGTGTGTCTGTTTCTTGGTGGCAGTGGGGTGGGGTCTTGGGGTGGGGCAAACATCTGCTCTTCCTCCTAGTGTGTGCCGTGGACGGCTGTCTGCATGGAGTTGCTGTAGGGAGGAGTCCTAATTTAGCCTTCATTGCAAGGCCTCTGTACAGTGTCGTAGTTGGAGTTGGACATGTTCCTCTAGCAATCTGGAGGCTCACCGTGGGTTCTCCTTGCTGTCTTGTCACTGCCGCAGCGGCCGGCGGAACTACGATGTCCCAGTAGCTGTGGTTATCCGGCTCAAGAGGGCGATGAAGACAGGATGATATCAGGGGTTGAGTAGGATTTGGAACCAGAAGATCGAGGTTGAAGGTCCTACTTCGCCACTCACCGGGGGTTAATTCTTGACTTTCCCACTCAGTGGGGATAGCGAGGCCCACCCCCGCCTCACTCTCTCTGAGTTTGTTGGGGGACTAATCACAGACGTTCTGTAGATGAACCCATGCAAGTTACAACTTGAAGCATTTGCTGAGCACTTGAACTGTGGAGTGAGTGAGAACTAACGAGCCCTCCTAATTAGTAGGAGATCAGGTGGAAGCATGAGGCCCCCAAGCCCGCTTCTATCTCATGCGCTCCGAGTCTTTTGAACACCTGGCTCTGTGTCCCTTCCTTGCCATCTGTTCCCTGTCACTGCTTCTTCGAGTCATGCTGCTGCATGAGACCTTCTTCCATTCCATTAGTGAGAAGAGCGTAGGGCACCGAGGGCTCAGCCCAAAGCTGTGGGACCTCTCGCCAGTCCCAGTTAAGGAAACAGGCTCACAGGTGTGTGCAGTAGGGTTGCTGAGGGCCCCTAGCTAGTGAGTGACAGACCGCAGACTTGGTCCGGATCTGACTTCTAGAGCGGAGCTTCTCCCCCGCGTTGCCTCTCCCCTGCATTGCATCCAGTTGCGCTCACTCCATTCCCCTGCCTCCTGGCCTGGGTTGAGCTCTGCAGGGTTGTGTAGCGCTGGAATGTTGAGCTCGAGACACTCAACTGGGACCTGTCCCGCGGTCCCCGACCACAGACTCTTCACCAAAATCTCCAGCTCGCATGGCCCTGTCTCATGCACCTCCCCGGTGGAATCCAGCCACTTGCTCTCCCCTCTTGGTTGCCTTCACAGCTGAGCTCATTGTGGAAACCTGCGGACCAGTGCCGGTCCCTTCCACCACAGGTGGTGGGTCTCAGACGCCATCAAACTTTGTGCTCCATGTGTCCTCTGTCAGCTCCCTCCTGCCTCCTCCCCGGCGCTGGTCCCCCTCTTTTCCCGGTGTACCAGAACGCCGCAGGTTTATGTCGAAGAAGTTGCTCGTTAGACGGGGGGATTTACTGGTGACGTCAGTGCTTCTGTTTCTCCTTCCCAAAGGACTTGTATGCCGTGATTAATGGTGGCATCCCAGAAACCACGGAGCTCCTGAAACAGCGGTTCGACCACATCCTCTATACGGGGAACACGGCCGTTGGGAAGATTGTCATGGAAGCCGCTGCCAAGCACTTGACCCCCGTGACACTCGAGCTGGGAGGCAAGAGCCCGTGTTACGTCGACACAGATTGTGACCTGGACGTCGCCTGCCGGTGAGCCTCCTTGTACCCGAGGGCTTCCCGACACTGATAGTCCTCTGTGCCCCGGGGTCCTGGGCCTCCTGGCTCCGAGAGACATCGTGGCATTCGGGTGGCTGATGTCCCCAGGGGCGGCGGAACTCTTTCCCAAGCCACCTCCTGCCTCCGCTGCCTGAGGAAATGAGCGGCGGGTCTCAGCACTGCGTGGCTATCCTTAGGAGTTAGAGAGAAGTGCTTTCTTTTCTTGAGGTTACAGACCTGCCAGGTGATCCAGGGAGGGAGTAAAGGATCGCATGTACATAGTAAAATCTTTAGATTCCCAGCAGGAAGGTGTTACGCTCGCCTGTTAATGAGTTCCTTTGTTGACAGAATCAGCGACTACTCATGTTTCTGCTCAGTAACATCGTGCACCTGGGCACCAGAAAACTCCAGGTTGCAGGTGCTCCGCTAAATCAGTCTGGCTTTTCTCTCCCCTTCTGAGACTGGCAAAGAGGGCTTGGAGGGCAGGCTGGCCGTGTCCAGGTTGTCTAGCTGCCAGAACCTGAAGCCTTGGGGAAAGATGCCAGTGGCAGGCTTTGATCCGCACGCAGCCATGGCTTTCCAGAGCGGGGCGGGGCTCCGCAGAGAAGAGGGTGGTCTTGGGGGCTGGCTGCTGTCTTTATACCCTTACCTCCTGCCAGCAGGACCTACAGCCACAGCCAGGAGAACTGATGTCTGTAAGGAGCTCCCGGCATCCCGATGCCCCCTTGGCTAGAGTCAGAGGAGAAGAGGGTGTGGGGAGGCTGCTGCTTATCTCAAAACAGGCAAAGGCTTCCCTGCTTAAAGTACCATTTCCCGCAAGCTGGCATGAGAACGTCCCGGCTCCTCAGAGTGTACTCTGTCGATGGGAAAATGCATTCTAAGTTCCAACCAACTGATGTAGAGATAAGTTTATAAAGAAAGCATTTTTGTTCTTTTTCTACAAAGCCTACTAAGTAGATTTTTGAGTACATGCTAGTTGCAGAATACTCAAATTACAGAAAAGCATGTAGCAGATGAATAGTAGATTGAATTCTGTGGTTTTTCCGTTTTCTCCCCCAACCTCAGGCGCATAACTTGGGGGAAATACATGAATTGTGGCCAAACCTGCATTGCTCCTGACTATGTCCTCTGTGAACCATCCCTCCAGCATCAAATTGTGCAGAAGATTAAGGAAACCGTGAAGGTTTGTGCTTAACACATCTGAGTGCATTGATTTCGTTAATAAGCGTGTCTAATCAGCTCTGTGCAGGCAGCATCCCTGGTCCCCCCCCACCCCCGCCACCCCCTGGAGAATTCCAGTAGCATAGGTGGCGGATTTATTTATGGTTTTATTCAAAATGCTCTGGGCACCTTTCTGAGAAAGGTGTCTGCTAGGAGCAAGGTTAGGTTGGTGTTTAATCCTCTTCAGCTGTCTAGTTGATGTGTTGGAACAACTGGTTAGTTGTGGCACAGGCTTTGAAAAAAAAAAATCAATAGTTATGTTTTGTGGTTTTTTTAGAGGATATTGGCAGTCCTCTGAAATGCAGGGAGAGGCCCTTGGCCTGTTGGCCATTGCTGATTAAGGTTCTCAGTTCTTGAATGTACAGAGGGCTTAGGAAGGCCGGTAGTTTGGAGGAGTGAATTAATCAAATACGTATTGATACTGTACTCGGCCTGGTTCTCTCAGTCTTTCAGGGTGTCCAAAGTAAAGATCTCCCTAGAAGGAATCGAGAAATGCTGTGGAAGTGGTCTGAGCTCAGCTTCGCAGAAATGTAGGATTTGGGTTGGAAGAAAGGAAGGGGGTGAACCAATGTGACTGAGCTCACTGGTGGGAGGGGGCCATTTAAAGCCCCCTGGGTGGAAGAAATTTCTGCAATGTCATAGTTCACTCAACAGATGCTAACTGAGCACTGAAACGAAGGATTGGGGACACCGAAGAGTAACATTATGATCAGAGAATGAAAAGCATGCCCCAGGAAGTTGAGAGAAGACCATGGATCCAAGTGGGTTCACTCTGGGCACAAAGGGCTGAAGGTCTGGGTGGGGGACTTGGCTCTGTGGGATGGGACTGAAGATGGGGCCAGAAAAGGAGAACATGAAAGGGGTCTTGGCCAGACTCGGGGAATATGGGACGTCAGGGTTTCATGACGTCCTGTGAGACTGAAAGCCCTTGGAGATGGGAGAAGACGTGCTTAGCGGAGTATGGGGATGAACTTGGTTTCAAAGGAGTAGGATCCCCTCTGCCTTCCTCTGAGGCATTCACATCCTTAAGACAGCAGTTCTCACCTGAGGTTCTCCCATGTATGAGAAGTTTCCAGTCCTCACCTTCTGAAGACTGCAGTTCAGCTGGTCTGGGGTCTCCAGTGATTCTAAGGGGCAGGCAGCCTTGAAAACTACTGCGTGTGGCTCCGGAGCTGGGGCCCGTCAGCACGCTGCTGGGGAGATTCTTAGCACCTAGACCTGGGGGGTTGCTTGGAGCAGGGTGAACAACACTCCTCCTGACATGAGAGTAAATTTTTTGGGGGAAGATTTTATTTATTTATTTGACGGAGATCACAAGTAAGCAGAGAGGCAGGCAGAGAGAGAGGAGGAAGCAGGCTCCCCGCTGAGCAGAGAGCTCGATCCCAGGACCCTGAGATCATGATCTAAGGCAGACGCTTAACCCACTGAGCCACCCAGGTGCCCCCTGACTTGAGAGTAAATTGAGAGCATTCACTCCTGGTACGACCCCCGGCTGGTCTGCAGGATGACCCTATGAGCCCCGGACATCACGGAGGGTCCTCGGTGTGTGCGTCTGCCTTAGTTCTCATGTCCAGCCTGCCAGGAAGTGTAAACGCTGTTAGACCACTTGAGGGAGGAGGGCGGTGATCTACAACCAGATGGCTTTTCGGGCACGGGTGGATTTTGTGCTTATTAAACTGAAATAGCAGTCTTCTGTGGCGGTTAAATACAATGATTTTAAATAGGAATTTTATGGTGAAAATATAAAAGAATCTCCCGATTATGAGAGGATCATCAACCTTCGTCATTTTAAGAGGATACTAAATTTGCTGGAAGGACAGAAGATCGCTTTCGGTGGGGAGACTGATGAGGCCACACGCTACATAGGTAATGGAAATTGACCTTTTGCTCTGGGGACACGGGCAGTGTGACAGTTTCCGTTGACGCTATTTACTGACGCTGAATAAGTTCTTGGAGACGTGATGTTTAAGGAGCAGTGACAGGCTGCTTTCTGGTGCTCATTCTTATATAACCACTTAGAGCTGGTTCTGGGTCTTTACAAATAATACCACCTGTGTTGCACTGGCTTTTTGCCTTACATACAGCCTTTCTTTTCTTTTTTTTCCCTCCCTACACCCTGTAACTTAACCCTGAGAAGCAAAACAGAACTCTTGTGTAATTCCTTCTGGTTTCTGGCAGGAGGGACAGCCCAAGGAGGAAATCATTCCACCACAACTAGTTAGTGGCAGTACTGGTCCAGAAATAATGTTTCCTTTTTTTTTTTTTTTTTTTTTTTTTTTAGGATTTATTTATTTATAGAGCGGGAGGGGGGCAAAACGGGGAGAGGGAAAGATAATTTTTTTTTTTCAAGATTTTATCCATTTATCCACTTGATACAAAGAGAGACGCACTGAGAGAGGGAACACAAGCAGGGGGAGTGGGAGAGGGGGAAGCAGGCTTCCCGCCGAGCAGGGAGCCTGACGTGAGGCTCGATCCCAGGAGCCTGGGATCATGACCCGGGCCAAAGGCAGGTGCCCAACCGACTGAGCCACCCAGGCACCCCAGGGAGAGAGAATCTTTAGCAGACTCTGTACTGGGCGTAGATTCTACTGGAGCTCCATCTAATGACCCTGAGGTCATGACCTGAGCCGACGCCAAGTGTCAGATGTTTAACTGACTGCACCACCCAGGCACCCCAGAAATGTTTTTCATCTCTCAGGCTTGACATTGTTTACTTTGTTTTGTGTTCTTTTATTCTTTGCCAGGAGTATGTATGCTTGTTGCATTTTGAACACACTGTTGTTGTTGTTTTTTTTTTTTTTTAAAGATTCTATTTTTGTATTTGAGAGAGAGAGAAAAGCAGGAGCAGGGGGAAGGGCTAGGGAGAAGCAGACTCCCCACTGAGCCAGGAGCCCAACATGGCTCCATCCCAGGACCCTGGGCAATGACGGGAGCCGGAGGCAGACACTTAACCAACTGAGCGACCCAGGCGCCCCCAAACACATTGTTGTAAAATAACATAAGGTGACTGAAGAATGAGAGACACATTTACTCGGCTGAAGAGCTGCCCTATATGGCTTTACTTATCCCCTCTTATCAGACAGGATGCTGCACATCCCCAAAAAACCCAACTTGAAAGAACCTAAAACCCTAGAGGATTAAAATGAGGAAGAAAGTATTCTCGCATCAGTAACAGCCTCCAAACCCCCAGTTTTTCATCTTTCTGTTTCCCCATCAGCTGTTGACCTTGGCCGCTCCTTGGCGCATCAACAGCAAGAGAAAAGGGTCTGTTGCAATTAGATCAACCAGTTACGAACGTCCCCCTGACCTGCAGTCAAGGTCAGCTTACCTGCACGCACAGCTGCGTAGGGAGTAGACTCCCCCTGCCCCCACCCCAGAACGGTTCTCTGAGCCTGGGAAGCAGCGGGCGGTGGTTTGGGGGAGACAGCAGACACCCCATGCAGGGTGCTGGCGAGAGCCATCTTCTGTCACGTTGCCGGGATGACCTAGTGGGAAATGAGGGGGAAAGGAAGAGAGCTAACTTGTCACTGGCAGGTGCCTTCTCTTTTCATTGAAGACCCGGCTTGTTTGTGGGGTCTTTCAGACCCCTGCAGTTTGGTCTGGCATGGCATGGATGCCGGGACTCTGCAAAGCCTTGTCGGCACCCATGTTGCCTGCCTGTCTTGCGCGCCTTCCCCATAGTGGCTGGAACACTGACCTCAGGGTCTCTTGACCCCTGAAGTCCATTCTTAACCTGACAGAGTTAAAGGTCGGTGGTATCCTATGTGTGGAAGCACGTGAACCAAGAAATGGTGTCCATTTGATCCACGGAGGGGCTGTGTGCACTGCCAGAGGGACCTGCGCAGAGCGAGATGGAAACAACCCCCAACCCCCTGGTCCATGCGGATGTGGCTGCCGACAGGGTCAGACGTGACTAGACTCAGGTGTCTGTATCTTCTCCTTGCTTGCCTGGGGGATCCCCGGATGCACCAGCTTGGAGACAGACACGCATGGTTCCTCCACATCAGGACTGATTTTTTCAGGACTTTTTTTTATATTCTTCAGTAGCTAATACTTGGGCGGGAGCACGAAGGGATGGATCAGTGAGCCAGAAACAAACGTTAAGATGAGAGCTTGGCGGGGCGCCTGGGTGGCTCAGTGGGTTAAAGCCTCTGCCTTCAGCTCAGGTCATGATCCCAGGGTCCTGGGATCCAGCCCCGCATCAGGCTCTCTGCTCTGTGGGGAACCTGCTTCCCCCTCTCTCTCTCTGCCTGCCTCTCTGCCTACTTGTGATCTCTCTCTGTCAAATAAATAAATAAAATCTTTAACAAAAAAAAAGTGGAGAGCTTGGCGTTCCTGTCTTCGACTTCACCATTTCCTCTTGCTGCTTTCCTCTTCCAGCCCCAACGATCCTTACTGACGTCGATCCTGAAGCCAGGGTGATGCAAGAAGAGATTTTCGGGCCCATTCTTCCCATCGTGCCCGTGAAGGATGCCGATGAAGCCATAAAGTTCATCAACAGCCGTGAAAAGCCGCTGGCCTTCTATATCTTTTCTCACAACGATAAGGTAGGCGCTGCAGAGAGCGGCTCCCTGGCACGAGCCGCTGTCACAGACCCGGTTCCTTCCCTGCCACATGGTCTGTTTTCCTCCAGTAACAGAGTTCACCGAGCAAGGCGCTGCTCACAGACAGCTGTCTGGAGTAATGAGGCCCTGGGGTTATGGCTGTCACCTTTCCCACGCTCCCTGGGGTCAGACCTGAGTCTTCAGGGCTGTGTCATAATCTCTTGCGCTGACAAACACCTCCCCTGTAATTGTAAGGCTTCCTCACCAGCACTGGAAGCTTCTTTGGCCTGCACTCCCAGGGTGTTCCTGTGTAAGAGCCTTCGCTCTTACCCCAGTGGCATTTGTGGCCCTCAGTGGGCTGTGTGGGGCTGCGGTGTCTGGCACAGTCACGTGCACGGTTGTGAAATCGCCAACTTCACTTTCCTCAGTTTCTCTGTTAGAGCGAGGGGCCATACCAGTCAGATGAGTCTGTGACACCCTATTACACCAGGGTGAGCAGCCCCCCGACCATGTCGCGTGGCTCCCGAGGGGACCGGCTGTTGCTGAGGGACATGGGCCTCGAGGTGTGCAGGTGGGCTCAGGAGCCGTCTGGAGAAGTGGGAGAACCTGAGGGGCCGGTCAAGGTGCGAGGAGTTTGCGCACGGAGGTTCTGTGCGTGGTGACACAAGGCTTCCAGAGCCTGCTGTGCTGTGGGGACATGGCCTTGTGAAGGGACCCTGGACGCATGGGCCTCCATGAATAATGGGTTATTAATCGTGGTCTGACGTGTTGTATGACTACAGGTGATGCACACAAGAGCCCTGAAGCCCAAAGTCTACCGGGCAGGGCACATGTCCGTGGGGCGCGCTGCCCAGTGACAGGGTCGCCCTACCACAGCGCACTGTGACCCTTGTGACTCGAACTCCCGAGGCCTTGTGGGCAGCAAGGAGAAGCGACATTTCATCAGGTGTCCTCATGCCTGTTTTGGTCTTGGGCCAGCCATTTTCTCAAAACAGATCGAATTCCAAATCTGAACGTAAACGTTCTTGGCAGTTCCCAAACACTCCAGGGTACTGTCAGTCCCGTGCCGTCATTCAGAGCAGAGGGGGAGAAACGGGCGATGGCTGAGACTCCGAATGCAGTCTGGACTGTTTCTCGTGGACAGAGGCTTCTGTGGCCATCAGGGGCGCCCTGGCCCGAGGCAGCGGTGGAGCACACGGGAGGCTACGGCGGCCTCCAAGGGCCAGACGCGCATCTGAGCACATACATGCGATCACACATTTGCCAAATCAAGCCGCGCCTTTGGAGGCTGATGTAGGCGGCACCGTGTGCCAGAGGCAGGCGGGCGGGCCTGGGTGTGGAGCCTGCGAGTTCCCCTCCTGGCCGCGGCCGGCTCCATGGGCGCTGCTGACCTGGAGCCCGTGTTCCCTCCCTCAGCTCATCAGACGGATGATCGATGGCACGTCCAGCGGCGGTGTCACGGCCAACGATGTCATCATGCACTTCACCCTCAGCTCGCTGCCCTTCGGCGGGGTAGGTGAGTAGCCCCCTCGGCCATGCGTGGCGCCGGCTGCCAGAGTCCCATGGCGGTGTGGGTCGTCTGGCCGTCAGGTGACTCTGTCCTGTCGCCCCTTCCGTCCTTAGTAGCCCCCAGCGTGGTCTGTAACTGGTTTTGTTCCTTTCACTGGTTTGCCTATGTATTGGTTATTACTTGGTTACGGTCCTTTTCTTAGATTGAGGGGATTTTTTAAATTTTTATTTTTTGGCCAAAGCCAGGTCTCAGATTCACGGATAAGGCTCCTCTGTCTTTTTGACGTTGAGGTAGCAGATGCCGGGTGTGGAACACCCAGAGCAGGGGGCAGTCGGAGTTTCTGGGTACCCCCTTGCTGTCTGCTCAGGGTGGGGCGAAGTCGTCCTTGGGGTCCACCCCCATGGCCCCCCAGGCCTCTGTGTGGGGCGCAGAGCAAGAGACTCCTGGTGTTCTGAGGACGTGCTCGTTCTCGGTGAGGTTCCATGGACACAGCCTGGGCCCTGCTGTTCCTTTGGGCCGTGACCTGCCTGCCTCTTCCACACGCCAGACGACCGGCCCTGCTTGTACTTTTCCTTCAGGAGCTAGGTGGTCGGCCTCTCTAATATCTTGTTGAAGTGTCACCAATAACGAGTGTGTAGGAATTCTCACAGTAAGAAGCAAACAGTAAAGCCACCGTCTTAGAAGCCCAAGACACCACAGCCTGCCACCCATGCATGCCCCATGTCTGGTTCTATCTAGGGTGTGGGGGGATCGCCAGCGCCCAGCACCATGCCTGGTGCACATGAGGGATGGGTGGGGAGAGGCCTGGGCTGGGGCCCAGACTGGAGCTAGTGGTGGCTTGGACTGGCTTGGTTGCAGGGGACAAAGTGGAAAGGGGCTGGATATTTTGGGCGGTGGGGGGGGTGTCAAGCAACAGGATTTGCTGATGGATTGAGCGTGTCGTGGAGGGAGGGGCGGTGAACAAAAGGGAAGATAGCTTACAGGATGGAAGCTGCTGTTCCTCACTGCCCAGATTCTTAAAGGATTCTGTGAGACTCCAGTCTCCTGTGCCTCAGTGGTTCCCCGCCCCCCAGGATCCTGGCTCCCAGCAAAGACTCGGGCATCCCTGGTGCCTCCTGAGTGCACATCGAGTGACTTGTGTTCAGTCCCTGTTTTGCGTTTAGCATCATTGACCGTACCCTCCTCTTTATAACAAAACCTTTTTGCCTGCTACACGCAGAAGGAATCAGGCTTCCTAGGAAAAGAGAAGAATTAAAGCTTAGGTTACCCTTACCCCACTCTTTAAGCTCTGGGGTACGTCCTTAAAATTCCTTTTCTTGCGCATGTTTGCACACATACGTAAACGTAAAAGCAAGAATATTTTATTTAAACTTGTACTCTGTTTTTCACCCGTGTGTGAGAGTAGAGTGGGGTATCTTCCCACGTCGGCACGGTCGTGTGTCATGATTTCAGTAACCCACCAGTGCTCCGTCCTACAGATGGGCCGTATTTGAGTTTAATTCCTGGCATTAGGTTTTTGTGAGTCCACATTTTTCCAGGATAGGATTCTAATACAGTTTTGTGCAATTTCTGATTCTTGGGGAAAATGTCTCAAAGTATTATACTGTGTTGAAAAGGCTTAGAGCTGTTTTTTTTTTTTTTTTTCAAAGTGAAATGCTTTTTTCCTCCTGTTTCTAAAAGTGATAAGAGGTTTTTTTAGGGAAAAGGGCAACCACAAAACACTACGGACAGCTGTAAGGCTGAAACGTAGTAGTCTCCCAGGCATAAATGCTGTCAATGTGTTAACATATAATTTCGATTTCTCCATAACAATGTGTGTCTTTTGATGCATATTACCGAATTTCCCTATAGCTTCAGTTGTCCCCAAAATGATGTGTCAGCAGCCCCCAGAGCACCAAGTAAGTGCCTTCCTGGCCCCATTCTCCTGTGCCTCATGCCACCGTGCCATACAGTGTATCTGCCCAGCACCCATAATAAAGAAGACTGTCCCAGAGCATGGCTTAAAAGAGGGCAAGGATTTATACTTGCTTATTATCACCCAGTGGGGTAACCCTGTCATCCTGTCTTTGTTGCTCTCTAGGAGCTTAGAGGAAGCAAGTGGGGGAAGAGGGCTGTGGATAAACAAAGCCGCATGGAACAGCAGGAAAAGAGCACATGGTAGTTAAGAGTCCAGCCGACCTGGATTCACATTCTGGCTTTGCATTCTCCACCTTGGGCAAGTTGCCTGATCCTGGCAGGCTCCCTCGTAGTCTCTGGAATGAGCGGCACTGATGCCTTCATACCAAGGGGTTGTGGCGAGAATAGATTTAGAGAACACAGAGCAGGGTCCTTGGTCTCAGTGAGAGCCACTGGCTCCGAGAGCCACAAGCCTCACTGGACCCTTGGAGAGTGCCCCTTTTTGGCAGGGAGATCAACTTGCTGGTGAACGGGAGAGGGGCGGGGCGGGGGGAGAACCTCCTCAAAGAATCACTTGTGCTGAGAAGTTAGGTGGGGGTGTCCAGGCCGGCAAGGAGTGCCATGGGTTTCCTCCGTTGGGGTTCATGCAGACCGGTAGCTTGTGTCCCCTACAATGGAGCCTGTCTTGTCTGGTCCCTCTGTTTCAGGTTCTAGCGGAATGGGAGCTTACCACGGGAAGTACAGTTTCGATACCTTCTCTCATCAGCGGCCCTGTCTGCTGAAGAGTTTAAAGAGGGAAGGTGCTAACAAGCTCAGGTATCCTCCCAACAGCCAGTCGAAGGTGGATTGGGCAAAATTCTTCATCCTGAAGCGCTTCAACAGGGGAAAACTCGGTCTGCTGTTGCTGGCTCTCTTGGGCGTTGTGGCAGCCGTGCTGCTCAAGGTGAGTCACTGCCTTTCCGGGCCCACCCGGACGGCTGCCAGACACACTCCTCTTCCGTCATGGGAGCTCATCGGCTTTTAGAGATAAACTCTGTCTCTCCTATTCACTTTCCGAGTCTGGGACAGGGTCGGTGAACTGTAGCCCCCGGCCGTCTTCCTGGGGAACAGCCACAACCCGGTGCTGATTTCGTGTCCCAAGAGCTCAGTGTGTGCCACAGTGGCCATGCAGCCGGCAGGGCCTAAGTGATCACGGAGGAATTGTGCCGGCCTCTGGTGTAAGAGTTTAAGACCCCGGGCTCCTGGATGGCTCAGTTGGTTCAGGGTCCTGCTCTTGATTTCAGCTTGGGTCATGATCTCAGGGTCCTGGGATCCGTGTGTTCGAGTCCCTTGTGGGCTTTGTGCTCAGTGGGAGGTCCACGTGAGGATTCTTTCTCTCTTCCTTCCCCCACCCCGCTGCTTGCACTATCTTTCTCTTTCTCAAATAAACCAATAAATCTTAAAAAAAAAAACAAAACCCCAAAAACAAAAACCCAAAGGGCAAAACCCTGTAGAACTTGCTGGAGGGATTCTGAGCCGTCCAGCGCTCTGATCCTTGTGGTCCTGGGTGTCTCGGTGGCAGTGCGGTTCTCAAGTGTGCCGGGCATCCGCATGGGGTGCCCACAGGTCACGAGGGGATGACTTGTGTGCTGGCGTGACTGTGGCAGGGGAAGGTGAATGCTTTGCAGCCCCCGTTGACTGCCCTGTAAATTCTGTCTCTGGGGGTGTTACTGTAGACGTGGGCTCCCTGAGTGGCCCATGATACCTGCCTCCCCAAGGCATCCATGAGTCCCTAGGGGTGACCGAGAAGGTCCAAGGGGACGGAAGTGAAGACGGACATGGGGGCACAGCCACCGTGTTCTCCGAGCACTCAGCTAGCCAGTCAGGGCGACACACCAAAGATAGTGACAACACCCGTGACACCATAGCCTTTGAAGGGAGGCCAGATTCTAGCAGTCACTGGAAATATCTGTGTTCTAATCTGCATTTTGGTTCCAGTTTGCAAGCTGGGAGTGGCTCATCTTCCAGGGTCACCGCTCTGGTGGAACTGGAGAGACCAGTTGCATTGGAAATCATTTGGGTTTTCTCAGAAACACAAGGCTGTGCTGAGGAGAAAGGCCCTGTTGATTTTTCTCGCAGCTCAGACTGCATTGTCCCGTAAGCAGTGACGGACCGCAGATCCCACGGCCCAGCTCTGTCTTTAAGAGTGAGGTAGGAACTGCTCTTTTTCTATTTCTGTGTAAAGTGGGTCGAGTCGGCAGTCTTTTGCTTGGCCCCGGGTATCAGTGTTCAAACTTGACTTAGCCATAGTTTTTAAAGGGGCCAGGGTGGCTCGCTGGGGTCTTTAAAAAAAAATGTGGAGGTAATGGCTCAGCTGGGTCTAGATGAAGCCCACATCACTTCTAGAAAAAGGAGCGTCGTAGGTGTCCCTCCCTCCTCCCCATCCACTCGGCTCCCCTGGAGCTGACCCCCTCCGATCTATAGACCACACGTTACACGGTGAACCCTTTGCTTTCTAAGTGGAGACCAATCTTCTAAAAAATACTCTTAAGTCACTGTTTCCTTTGGAGTTGTTTGGGTGTTTCAAAAGAAGTGTGACTTCAGAACTCGTGCTGGCAGATGGCGTGAATCAAAACCCTGTGTGCCTTTGAGAGGCTTCTCCCTCCGCATCTCTCCAAGCTCTGAGGCGTGCATGGGTCTCGAGTCATCCTCTGCCCTCCTCTCTTGTCCCCAGACACCTGTCCATCCCCAGCCGAGAGGCACCATCTTGCTGGGGGGACCTCTTCGCATCATGGGACATTCAGGGCTCCAGGCTGCCGGTGTTCCCCACAGGGGCAGCGTGCCGGGTCCGACAGGCTGGGGTAGGCCAGGTAGCCCGCTCAGAGCTCCCCAGAGGGTTTGCCAGACTTGGCCTTCTCTGTGAACGCCTACAGAAGCACCGGCGTATAAAGACACTTCGCTTGGAAACAGGAAAATATGGCTTCGATCCCTGGCTCTGAGATCAGCCACATTCTACCTCTGAGCAAGGCCTGTTCTGAGCCCACCCTTCAGCCTCGGCCTTCTCATCTGTGGAACGAGGGCCGCCAGCCACGGTCTCTCTCACCAGGGAGACCCGCTTCTCACTACTGTGAGTGGATGTGTTTAGTGGTTTGGACCTTTCTGGGTTCCATGTGGGACCAGTGAGGATTTGGTTTTCTTTCCCTCTTCGCTTCTCTGCTGACTTCTCTTCTGACTCTGAGCTTCTGTCCTCTTTCTAGTAAATCACCTTTTATTTTAAATAAGCAATCCTGAGCCCACGTTGTGCCTTTATTTGAGGAGTCTTTATTGGGCCTGCACTCATTTTCCTGAAATGGCTTTTCTGCACGTAATTATTTTGTCACATGCTTGGTTGCGATTTCATTAATTCATTTCACTAGAACGAGAACAGGCTTGGGACATTGTTAAATGGGAGATTGAAAGCAGCTCTGATCTGTTTAAAGGGAGCATGTCAGACTCGCTGAATGGAGAGGAGTTTTCTCTATGCATTTAAAAAAATTGTGTGTGTGTGTGTGTACATACATCTACACCAAGTCAAGTTCCAGTAAAGTGTCACAGAAACCACAGAAAGTGTGGTAGGGGGTGCCAGTTTTAAAAAGTTGAGAAATAGAAAGGGCTACTATTGAGAGATGTCATGAGGCCTTTGAGAATCAAGTATGCCATCCAAGCTTCCAGATTTTGCGTGGAGGCTTCAGCCTCCCACTCACAACTGGAGGATAGTAAGTGAACATTTTCCATTCCTGGCCCAACCCTGGGGTTGTCTCACCACCAGGAGACAGAACACCACCTCCTCACCACTGCTTGACTTCTTATTGTTACTTTGCATGGGAGGGTATAGTCTTTTATCCTCAGCCCAGACCGTGCTTAACATCTTAGGGAGACAGGGACCTTTTTTTTTTTTTTAATAGAGCGCATTTCGCATCTCTGAAAATAAGAGGCACTTGGTAGAGTCCCGATACGGATCTCCTGTTCCAGGGCTGGTCAGGTGGGGTCTTAGACCAGCAGAGTAACCAGGATCCCTCTCTCCTCTCTCTAGGCTGGATACTATTGAAGAAAGATCCTGTTCAAACTCCTGGTTGCCTCTACCGGATTATTCCTCTGTTAAACAGTTAATGAACCAATCATTTTAAAATCCTACCAAAAATAGTAAGGAAGTAATGCAAATGCACCAGAATCAACTGTCAAAGTCATTGGTGCGCCCCATGGATAAAACCTGCCATCTCAGCCAAACCCCAGCCTTCCCCTCCGTGGAGGGGGGGGACGCACTCCGAGAACGCATTTTACATGGGTCACCCAGACCTTAGAGCTTGAGTCTAGGGGAGGCGAATGTGTTAGCCTAAACCCTTGGGACATGTAAAGGAGTCTCAGAACCTGTTGAGTGACTTCTTCACTCCAGTTCTTGGGACACAAGACACCCAGCCCAGGGTTATCCACAGCCCTCCGCGTCCAGAGAGGTGAGGCTAGACCTTCCAGCTCTGCTTGAGGTTTGAGGCACTAGAATTGTATATGGGTGCGGCGGGGCGGGTGGTCCCCGTCTCTTATCCACTGGGACATGAGGACTTGACCTTCAAGAGTCAGCCCTCCTGTCAGATGGGCCACCTGACCAGTGGTCTTCCTCCTTTCTCATCCATTCTCCATACTCTCTCCTGTTTATATTGGGACAGTCTCTTGGGGCCGTCCACAAATGCCTTCTGTGACTAATACCACGTAGAACATCACCTTGTATGCCCCAGGGCTTCTGGGAAGACAAGTTGCCAATTTCATGCACGTATCATCTGTCAATCTTCCCGTGAAGGAGTTGTAGGATTCTGCATCTTCTAAAACCCTAACTGGCATGTTTAATGCTGTAATAAGGAGACTTCTAACAATACTTACTCTCTCTCAGGATCTTAAAGTTTCAAGTCAGTGGATCTTCAAGGACAAATCTTTAAGTTTCTTAGGTCCATAGCACAATGCACATAAATTCCACTTTGCTAAACTTCAGAGAGATCCCTGAGTAAGTGCAGCCTTCAGGACCTAACACGGAAAGCCACTGCCTGCCGTGGCAGTTGGCCACACTGAAGAGGACGGAGGGCACAGGAAGGGGAGCTCTCTTGAGATGGCCGGGACTGGAGACCTGATGAGGTTCAGCCCAGTGGGAAAGACCTCAACCTCCCTGCCAGGCCTTGGGGACTCCTGGCTGCAGGGGCCCCACCCTCCCAGAGCATGTGTCACCGGCTTGGTTGCACACGCTCAGACAGCATGGGACCTTCATGTCAGCATGAGGTGTCAAGAACTCATCACTAGGCTAGTCCATCGGGATAATCTGTCATAAAATATCTTAGAATATCCATGTGGAATTTTTCATTTAGCCTACTAAATTGTACCTTCTGATTTCTAGTTCAACTAAATTATTGGCTTGTCTGTTGGTATATTCTGTTTCAAAATAAATACATTATATTTACTAAAACTGACATGAAGTTTAATGACAATCTTCGCATAGAACCTCTTAGGGCCTTGGAAACAATTCTTTGGCCCTAAGTTCCCCCCACCCAAATACAAATCCTTTTTTTGCCTTTATCTATCATAGGTAGTAATTACCGACTTTAAGTCCTGCTTCCTCAAATTCTGAGCCAAGATTTTCTCAGGCTTTACTTTTTAAGGGAGAGAAGGCTGTGGGGGAGGGCCAGAGGGAGCTTAAGAAAGAGATTCTCCAGCAGACACCTTGCGGAGCACAGAGCCAACACGGGGCTGGATCTCACCACCCTGAGATCGTGACCCGGGCAGAAATCGAGAGCCAAGCGCTCAACTGACAGCACCACCCAGGCACCCCCTGTGGCATTTTATTTTTTAAAATACCTGGGTAGTAAATACGTTTTTTCCAGCTCTACCCTCGTATTCCCATTTGCTAATCTAAAACAAGCGTTTCCTAAGCCTCCGCCCAGAACACTAATCCCATAAGGTTTTACACAAAAGTTGATCCCGCCTCCCATCCTGTCGACCAGAATTTGGGAAGCAGCCATATTAGAGGGTCTCCAGCCTGTAGAACATCTGTGGTGCTGGCCTGGGTTGTTTCCCAAACTTACTTGGGCAGGGAACCCTTTGCTCTGAAAACTTCGTAATCTTAGAACACATTTAAGGAAACGGTGACATTACTTTTCTGTGTTCAGTTCCCAGCCACTTCCTTGGCTTGCCAGAAGCTCACTAAGTTATGTGTGTCCCCCAGACAAGGAGGATCTCCGCCTTCTGGGAAGTGGGAGGCCTGGAGTGTCACCGGGTCCAACAACACGAATTCACAGTGACTCTTGCAAACTGGGATTACATTCTCTGCTTCCTTTTTGGTTTTTCTATTGGCTCTGATCAATAAATTCATTTTATTTGTGAGTGCGTTTACAGCTCCTGATCCGAAGGGTCTGTGTGTGGCAGGGGAGGCCAGACCGCCTCCACTTTGGAGGCACACGGAGCCTGAAAACGTTTGGCAGTCCCAGGCCTCCAGGAGAAGTGTCCTAGAATTGGGGTCGGCACTGTCTTCCACCCAAGGCCATGAGGCCTGGCGATCTGGGTCCAGCTGCTCTCATCTGTACCCCGTCCCTGCTGTAAGAGCAAGCGCTTCTCAAGTTCTGTGATCAGTGCGATGCTGATAGAACAGAGGGTCAGCGGAAAGGCAAAGGAGGGTCTGTGAACAGCCACCTGCCTTGTCTGGGTTTCCTGGCGCCCAGATCTGCAGGGGCGTGTGGGGTAGAGACACACGGTCCACTGGCCCCAGTCTCGGCGTGCCACAAAGGCTTTGTGAACAGACCCGGGCACCAGAGTCTCCTAGAAAATAACGTACTTTTTAATTGGGTGACTGTGTTTTGTGATCATGTTTTGATTGGAAATCTCCCAGTTGGAAGCCTTGTACATGACTGAATTCTAGCAGCAGCCCCAGCTCTCTCTTGGGTCGGTGGATGGCTTTGTCAGGAGCAGATTGGAGAAAGCTCTCACACGAGGCGCTGGCTGCGGCTGGTTTTCGGAGCTGTGGTCCAAGCTGCCCTCACCCCCCACACCGGGTCCCATGGGTGCTTTTGCAGGCAGGTGTGGGCGGCAGGGTTGGGGGATGGGGGGCAGCCGCTCTTGGCTCCCTTTCTGGCTCCGAGCCGCACGGCTAGTGTCTGGTGGTCAGGAACCTGATGACCAGGCCCACCATCAGCATGGCTGACACCGCCCCCAGGGCGGCCCCGCGGCGGATGAGCAGCTGTTTCACTGACAGGGGGCTGGCTGGGGCTGACGGGGCTCGGGCTACTTCCGGCGTCCCGAAGAGGTCCACATGGCCCTCGGGCCTCGAATACATCATCAAAGTGATGCCTGGGGAGTTCCCCATAGCCACTGCAGAGGCAACAGGAGCCAACTCAGCGGGACTGGGGGGCTGGGGGGCTGGGGGGCTGGGGGAGAGCGGTGGCCTTAGAACCAGGAGGCCTGGCTGTGTGCGTTACACTGGGTGACAGTTAATAAATCAGCCTCGGTGCCTTAACGTAGAGGAATGGGCCTCATCTACTCCACAGCAGGATCAGAGGAGGAAACGATGTGGTTAAGTGGGAAAACCTCTTGCCACGTGAGTTTGCTGCATAGAGAAAGCTACTGCTAAGATCACCTTAAAGGGGTTCCTATCCGAGCCCGGCCTCATGATCATGTGCTGAGCGTGACGTTCACATGTCTTCAGAGCGCACGTTGAATGCCCGGTCGGACCTGACCGTGGTCTCTCGCCACACTCTAAGCTGCCCGAGTTCAGTCCGCTGGCCCCCTACCGCGCTGCTGAACGCAGAGCCCAGGATGCCAAGAGGTCATGGAGATAAGTGAGGCCTCTGGGCTGCATACACGCATGCCCCACACTCCACGCCTGCCTGAGCTAGGAGGGCACCCGGGCCTCGAACCCAGGCCGCCTCTTCATCACAGAGACCCTGGATATAAACCAGGGGCACCCGCCTGTCCGATGGGGCACAGACAGATGGGCAGGGGAAGGTGCCCCCCGTCCCCCGCTCCCAAGCTGGTCCAGCCAGGCTAACCTGCCGAGACCAACTGCCATGGGCCAGGATGTGACCTTCAGGGCGGAGAACGTGCTCTGGGGTCTGACTGGCCCCTGCAATGACGACCTCACCTGTTCCAGCAGCGGGACCACGGGGAAGAGGCCTAAGCTTTCAGCCCTCCTTCCTCATCTGAGAACGTGGCCATAGTCATGACCACACGGGGCTGAGGGGGTGAAGTAGCTCGCACAGGGCCCCTTAACTCATTGATAATAGCGTCTCCCCAGTATTTAGGAGGGGACATCCGCGCCAAGAGGGGGAACAGCGGGCTGGGCTTGCACAGTCCCCGCTTGGCCCGGGGTCCAGACGCAAGGCCACCCAGAACGGTGTGGCCCCGGCAGGTGTGTGCCCCGCCGACCTGTTAGGTGCAGCATTACCTGAAGACGTGACTGCTTTCGCAGGCCCGGGTCGGGGGGCCGTGGTCGCCACGGTCACCGTGCCGTCAGGGCTCTGCAGCCCCGCATGTTTCTGAGCCTACAAAAGCAAGAGCTTGCCTGGGTCGGCCTCCCGATCACCACTGGCCTCGCCAGCGCCCTTCCTTCACACAGTAATCTCGGGGCGCCTGGGTGGCTCCGTCAGTTACGCGTCTGCCTTCGGCTGGGGCCACACGCTCAGGGACCTGTCTGGGTTCAGCCTCGTTTGACTGAGCTCTTTGCTTTTGTTCGGGTTTCCAGCAGCTCGGGCTGGCTAAGGGTTTCGGTGTGTGCACTTCTCCTTGTGGCTGGAGAGCACCCTGGCACCGTCTGGGGTCCCCCCGCAGCATCAGGAGCAGATGTGGAGGCCGAGGCGGCCTCTCCGAGCCCCTCAGCCCCCCAGATCGCTGCTCCCCCGCGTGCCCTGAGCGCTTTGGGGGAGCAGTCAGTCTGCACGCTTGGCCAGGCCAGGGCCCACCGCTCGCTCACCTCCTCTGCTGCAAGCTTCCAGTCCATCCGGGCGGTGTAGACAACAAAGGCAACAGTGCCCAGAAGGCCACAAGCCAGCATGCCCAGCCAGAGGCCTGCGGGAGACAAGCAGCCATGGGGACAGAGCGTCCGAGGGCCCCCCAGGCCTCTTCTGACTTTCCCTGGCAGCACATACCCATGATTCTCATTCTGACCACAAAGGTCAGCACGATGCCCAGGGGCAGACCGATGACATAGTACATGATGGCGTTCACAATGGCTCCGAAGGCCTGCTTGCCGGTCCCTCTCAGGACTCCGCCATACACGCACTGGGAGGGGAGGCAGAGAGGGGTGGGACACTGATGGCAGGCCTCCTGCCGGGAGCTCCCTTCTAAGCCACTCCCGTCGCAAGGCCTGCTTTCAGCCAGCGCCGGGACAGTGCTCTCGTTCCCTCCTGTCTCCCCACTCCCCCACGACCGAGTCGGTGCAAGTCATACCCCCCATCTTCATCTCCACACCATGACCACCTCTCTAGAAAATCAAGGTAGGGCCGGTGACCAAACACCAGCTGGTCCAGGAAACAGGACCAATGTCACATAGAGTTGCACTCATGGAGTTGTGCCAGGTGGCCACCCCACTGCTGCTGTGGCAAATTCCAGTAAATTAGCAACATGGAACAAGGCACAGGCACGGTTTCCCGGCTCTGGAGATTATGAGTCCCAAATGGGTCTTGTTGCACAAAAGGCAGGGCAGGTTCCTCCTGGAGGCCCGAGGGGAGAATCCGTTTCCCTGCCCTTTGCAGCTTCGAGAGGCTTCCCTGCATTCCTTGGCTCTCAGCCCACAGACAGCGTGACACCACCACGTGTGTCTGGCTTGCGTCTTCCTTCTGCCTCTGGGCCTCCCTCTCTCGCTTACGAGAACCCTCATGATTACATGTCGGGTCTTCTGGATAATCTGAGACCATCTGCCCCAGCTCTAGATCCTTCTTCACGTGATCCCATCTGCAAAGTCCACTCCTACCACCTGACCTTCACGGGCCTGGGGATTCGGACATGGAGAGGTATCTTTGGGGTGGGGGGACTGATTCTGGAAACCACATGGGGCAAGCAAAGGTGTCCCCTGTTATAGAAACTCCTCTGGGGAAAATACTAGCTCAGCTTTATCTTTCTAGGCTCGTCCTCCCAGCCTGATCCCCGACCTAGTGCATGAAGGACTACAGCCACGGTTCATGTTTTGTCCGATGTGTCTGATGCACAGACACTTGGTTCTTTTTCTTTCCCTTAAGGTAAAGGATATGCCGGTTTCTGTGGTATGTTTGCTACACTTTGAGCAAAGAGGCAATGCGTGCAGGAGGGGAGATGGTGCCTCTTGAACTTGGAAATGAGGCCTGTGGGTTACTCATGTTTTATCTATCGTGACATAGAGGGTATTTTGGGGTTAGAAAAAGACTCCTCCCAAATGATGAATGATGTGGTCTGCACAAGTATTTCTCATTGTCGGGCTCTAGGGGACATTTGGCAATGTCTGGAGATGGTGTGGGATGGTGGGGAGGGGTGTGTGACTGGAACCTAGTGGGTTGAGACCAGGAATGCTGCTAAAGGAGGTTTACGACAAGGAATTATCCATCTGAAATGTTATAGTACCAAGGCTGCAAAGCCCTTTAGAGCATTTTGAATGACATGGACAGTCTCCAGTGCCCAGCACATAAGACGGGCCAGGGCCCACTGCCACTACCTACTGTCCCCTCCTCTCCAGCGCCAAGGAAGCCAAGCCTAAAATTGAAGGGAGAAAAACCCGGAAAACCAAACTGAGTCGAGAGATAGCTGCAGGTTGTAGAGGAGATGGGAGTCACAGAAGCCCCCCAGGCAAATTCCCAAATAAAACAACAGGCCATGGGGAAAGGTCACACACGCAACATTCTCCGGGATGGGTCTGTGCCAGAGCACACGACAATTAAATTAGAGACACCGACAAAGAAAGAAATCTGAGAGCTCTCACCCCGAATATTGGAAGGTAACACACTTCTGTGCTTTTTTTTTGGGGGGGGGGGAGTTAATACGCTTCTAAACCTGTGGGTCAAAGAGTAAAGAACAGGAGAAATTGTAAGATAGCTGGAATGCAAAGTAAAACAACATAGCCAATGAATTAGATGCCACTAACATAGTGCTTAGAGATGTGTAACTTTAAATGCCTAGATCCAAAAAGAAGGAAGGCCTCATACTGAGAGCCTATAAAATTAACAAGTCAGGAAATGATAGATGCTGGTGAGGTTGCAGAGAAAGGGGAACCCTCCTACACTGTTGGTGGGAATGCAAGCTGGTGCAGCCACTCTGGAAAACAGCATGGAGGTTCCTCAGAAAGTTGAAAATAGAGCTACCCTACAACCCAGCAAGGGCACTACTGGGTATTTACCCTAAAGATACAAATGTAGTGATCCGAAGGGGCATGTGTACCCAAATGTTTATAGCAGCAATGTCCACAGTAGCCAAACTATGGAAAGAACCTATATGTCCATCAACAGATGAATGGATAAAGAAGATATATATATACACTACATCTTCTTTATACACACACACACACACACACACACACACACACACACACACAATGGAATACTATGCAGCCAACAAAAGAAATGAAATCTTGCCATTTGAGATGACGTGGATGGAACTAGAGGGTATTATGCTTAGCAAAACAAGTCAATCAGAGAAAGACAATTATCATATGATCTCCCTGATAGGAGGAAGTTGAGATGCAACGTGGGGGGCTTGGGGGGTCAGAAAAGAATAAATGAAACGATGGGATCGGAGGGAGACAAACCATAAAAGACTCTTAATCTCACAAAACAAACTGAGGGTTGCCGGGGGGAGGAGGGTAGGGAGAGGGTGGTTGGGTTATGGACATTGGGGAGGGTATGTGCTATGGTGAGTGCTGGGAAGTGTGTAAACCTGGCGATTCACAGACCTGTACCCCTGGGGCTAATAATACATTATATGTTAATAAAAAAATTTAAAAATTAAAAAAAAATTGAGAGCCTAATATTCCACCCTAAGGAACTAGTAAGGGCAAAACCATATGGAAATAATGCAGGAGGGTGGAAATAATGATGATGAGAATGGAAATCGCTGAAACAGACAACAGAAAAATAACCGAAAATCAACGAAACCCCAAACCCTAGTTCTTTGATAAGATCCACAACAGCTGGGGCGCCTGGGTGGCTCAGTGGGTTAAAGCCTCTGCCTTCAGCTCAGGTCATGATCTCAGGGTCCTGGGATTGAGCCTACATCAGGCTCCCTGCTCAGCGGAGAGCCTGCTTCCTCCTCTTTCTCTGTCTGCCTCTCTGATCTCTGATCTCTATCAAATAAATAAAGTCTTAAAAAAAAAAAAAAAAGATCCACAACAACTGACAAACACTTGCCAAGGAGTCGACCTTGGTAAAATAAGACTAAGAAAGTAAGAAAGGGAAGACACGAATCAACAAAATCAGGAATGAGAGAAGGGACGTAACCACTGACCCTAGAGAAAAGGATGATAAGGAAACATGGTGAGTAACTTTGTCCCGAAGAACTAGACAGATTTAGTTGAAATGAATAAACGACTAGGAGGCCACCGATTACTGAAAATAACTCAGCAAGAAGTAGAAAGTGAAGAGACCTGTAACAAATAAATAAATGGAATTAATTAAAAAACCTTCTGACCAAAGCTCAGGCCCAGAAGGGCTTAAATATATTTAAAGAAGGTATAACGCTAATCCTTCCCAAACTCAGAAAGCCTAGGAGGAGAGGACACTTTCAGAATCATTCCGTGAGGCTGGTGCTACCCTGACACCAAAGGTAGACGAAGAGATCGCAGAGATAAAAATTAGGGTGCCTAGGTGGCTCGGTTGGTTAAGCGACTGCCTTCCGCTCAGGTCATGATCCTGGAGTCCCAGGATCGAGTCCCACATCGGGCTCCCAGCTCAGTGGGGAGCCTGCTTCTCTCTCTGACCTTCCCCCTTCTCATGCTCTCTCTCTCTCTCATTCTCGCTCTCAAATAAATAAAATGTTAAAAAAAAAGAGATAAAAATTAGCAGATGAACATCCTTCATGAATGTAGATGCAAAATCTTAAGCCAATTTGCCAAGCCAAATTCAGCAATAGATAACAAGATCTAGGGCATGGTGGGGAGGGCCTTATCACAGGACTGCAAGGTGTAACATTTTTTAAAAATCAATTAATGTGATTCTATCATATTGACAAAATAAGGGACAAAAGTCACTTGATTATCTCCATAGACATAGGAAAGGCATTCTAGAAAATCCCAACACCGTTCATGAGAAAATGTTTTAACAGACTAGGAGCAGAAGGGATCTTCCTCAGCCTGATGAAGGGCATTTATATCCTACAGAAGACATTTCATGCTGAAAGACTGAACCCTTTTGCCCTAATGTTGGGAGCAAGGCATAGAGAGGCTCTGTGTGTATCCCTCATACTGGAGTCAAGTTCCAGCCAGGTGGAAAGGGGGAATAAAACTCTTGATTCCCAGAAGACCTGATTCTATACGAGTATCTTAAAGGAATCCACACACACAGACTACTCAAATGAGTAACAAAGTCACAGGCTAAAAGAACTCAAGATGTGAGGTAGAAGATACAGGGTTCCAAACTCTGCTTCTAAAAGGAGACATTAGTGTTTTCTTTTTCTTTTTTTCAAATGTGACGCTCTTAAAAATTCATGTAATTCCGATCTGCACTAAATGGGACCCGTCTCGTAGCACTCAGAGATGCAGAATACTCGGGTCCCTCAGTACTCTGGGGTGACTCCCTCCCTCTCAGGTCCCTTTGCTCCAGAACGGGGTGAGGGAGTTAATGCTGGTGCAATCTTTCTCGCTAATCTCCATTGTCTTTTGACTAGTTGGAAGGCTGAAGCGAAGGGGAGTCATTGTTTTGAATAACAATAGAATTAATCCGAGCCAAGGTTTTGGGCATTTCCTGTATACAGTTAGCCCTTTACCTGTTTCAATGAGTTAATCCTGACATCCCATGGAGGCCTCAGGGAGCGCGCATGAACTTGGACTTGGACTGGGGGGGGTCAGGCTTCCCACCAGGGCAGTACTTACACAGACGGCCTCAAACAGCTGAAAGACGATATAAACCGGCAGGACCTTGTTCACCAGTGTGATGACTTCTCTGCAGGAGACACAGGGGAGAACATTCGTGAGGAGATTTAGGGCATGACCATGTTCTTATCTCCCCTCTGTTCTACCACCTCCTAAAAAGGATCAGGAGAGAAAAAATGGCCCCAGATGAACCTGACATTCCTGGTGCTGAGTTCCTGCATGTTCGTCTGTGTTCTTAAACTCCAGAAGAGCGATCCCTCCCACTCTCCTACCGCCCTCCGCTCGGCATCGTGTCCAAGTAGGTGACGGATGCTGCGGTCCGGGGACAGAAGCAGAGCCGGCTGCTAACTAGCTTCCTCCCAGTGAGAGCAAAGTCCGGGCGAGTCCCACTTCCTCTGGACCCAGTGCCAAGCCAGTCAGCCATGCGACCCTGAGGGCCAGCCGCCAGCCACTCTGGCATTTCCCAGAAGTGAGTGAAGAGAACTGATTACCTACTCATCATTTGTAAAAATATGCCCCAGTTTGTTTTTCAGGAGGCTCAGCAGTATGGCCACAACCAGCGAGGTCCCAACTGGAAGAGACAAAAGGAAGTACATTTGTCCCCAAGCACCCCACCCTACCCCCACCCCAAGCGCCCCACCCCACCCCCACCCCAATCGACAGAGGAGCCCAGCTGAGGACCCCTCAAGGCACGACAAGGGAGGGACTGTCCTTCCTCTTCTGGTTCTCCAAGTGGGCTTTCTGGACCAGGGGCTTCTGCATCCCCTGGTAACTTGTTCACAGTGTGGGTTCTCGGGCCCCCCTCCTCCCAGACCTCCTGAATCAGAAACTGTGGGGGAAAGCCCGGTGGTGTGTGGACTGACACAGCCCTCAGGCCGATTCTAATGCCGCCGAAAATCTGAGAACCGCCACTCTCCACAGAAAGTCAGGAGGAGGACAGAAGATTGGCTCAGCCAGGGGCGGGGGTGGGGGGTGGGCAGGCCCCCAAGCTCCTGGGGGTGCTGGGAGGGCAAATTTGCAAAAGGGCCCTGGACAGCTGGAGGGAGAAGCCTGGGGAGGAAGGGACTTCACATGGTCACACACTAAGGTAAGGGCTGGAAAGTTGTGTCAACTCAGCTCCAGAGGGGCTGCTCCGGGGGGGGGGGGGGGGGCAGTGGGGCTGGTTTCTCCCCTGCCCCGGGGCTCCAACTTTCCAAGACCCTTCCCCACTACCCCCAGAGGACTCTACCCACCTGTGCAAAGCATGCCGGAGATGGCTGACCGCTTAGCTTGGGCAGTGTCCGCGGCTCCCAGGGCCATCCCCACCCGGACACAGACCGCGTTGCTGAGCCCCAGGGGAATCTGGGATCACAGGTAACAAGGGGCGGTCAGTGGAGCCAACCTGAACGGGGTGGGTGGGTCCTGAGCCAGGGAGAGGCCGGGGCTGGGGTGGAGCACCCCTCCCACCCTCTAACCCAGGCCAAGAGGGAGAAGAGAAAGAAGACAGGACGGGTCCCTGGGTAGCGGCATGAGAAGAGAGGGCTGTCCGGCTGCGGTGGGGAGAGGGGCTGGGGATGCCCTGAGCCAGCCAGCCGTCCCCACCCTCTCCAGAAGATGTCACAAGGCGACTCGTGAGTAAACACATTTTTCAGAGGCAGCTGTGGTCTTAGGTATGCCAGAAAAAACAAGTTTTGTGGAAACCATTTGTAAAATAAAGTCCCTTATACATGAGTGCTGTAAGTGTAGACTTTTGTGAGTCATTTCCTTAAGCCCGGGGTCGCAGACTGCCTGTCCGCAGGAGGCTGGCAGATACACACCTGAGTGACAAGGGACAACTCATATCTCTGTGGGAGAGCAATGGGGACTGTGGTGGGAGACAGGGAGGTCCCCTGCCCCTGCCACCAGCACAACGAGGGAATGCGATCACCCAGCTCTTGCTGACTGGGGAATGCCGGGAGTGTGGGCCCACCGCTAAAGGGAATGTCCCATTTTTCAAGAGAATGCAAAAATTTTACCATGTGAAATTTCCCCCATTGTTAAATGGTGATCATTTAAAAAAATTCTAACACGACTTTTAGTTCAGTATTACCACCTGTGGAGCAGCTGGCCCAGCAGGTTCCAGACCTGAATGGGCACAGAGGGTCGAGGAGGGTCCCTCAGGACATAGAGATGGCCCTTAGGGTGACCGCCCGCCTGCCTCTCTTCTGTGACACTCCAGGCCATCAAGGAGGCCAGGACAGCATGGAGGGTGTGGCGAAGGTGCCCCCAGAAGAGACTCACCATGTAGACTATGGTGGCCAACTCGTAGAGGATGGCCTGGCCAGAGAGGTCCAGCATGCTGATCAGGCCTGCGGGGGGGAATGGGGGGGACCGGAGGTGGGGGGCACACAGCACCCAGCCCTGGGGACGGCTAAGAGATCAGGCTTTGGACGCTGACGGGCAAATGATTTCCAAGGGTAGATTTGCAATGGAAGATGTTCCTTCCTGGCCTTCAGCCTTCCAGGAAAATCCCAGTGGAATTTTCTGGAGGCTGTTGCCTGTACGGTTTGACTTTCCAGTCCTTGGTGTACCTCAGCATGGCGAGTGAGAGAAAGAGACCTGGGCCAAGGTCAGGAGAGCCGAGTTTGGGTCCCAGCCCTGCCACTGTGCAGCTCTGTGCGACTCTGGACAGTTTCTTGTTCTTGGGACTCAATTTACCTGTCTAAATGGGGGGCAAGGACTGGCCCAGAAGGTCTCCCCGGGCCATTCTTGCACAGGCCTGATTCTCAGGGTGTGTGGACGCCGCCCTGGGTGTTCTGATGAGAACACGCGTGTCACACCCCTGCTAGTTCAGTCCCTTGCTCCCTCACAGACTCAACCACCTAGCCCCAGGCACCTGCTGGCTTCTAGGCCTTTTGCTGGGCGGTGCTGGGGTCCTGACATGAAAGGCTCAGGCCTGCCTTCAGGGAGCTCACGACCTCATAGGGGATATGAGAGAGCCACAGGCCCAGCCTGGGCCAGGCTGCTGAACCGCCCGCTTGTGGAGAAGGTTTCGGAGATGCGCACACGGTTCTCTGAGCCATGCTCGTCCACGTACCCATGAGGAAGCTCCCGATCTCGTAGGCCCACCACTCGATGCACACCATGAGCATGCTGGGAATCGCCAGAGAGAAGAAGGCGCCCCAGTCCTGCAGACACTGGCTGGACCAGCCTAGGAACAGAAGCCCCTATCAGGAGCCCGGCGGGGAGCCAATGCGCATGCCTGCTAACTGCAGGAGCCTCCTTAGGCCTCTGGCTCCGCCCACTCCCGGCTCAGCTCAGCAGGTGTAGACACTTTGCATTCTGCATGGGGTGTGCCAGGCGCATGCCCGCCCACTGCAGGAGCCCCAGCGGACCGCTGGCTCCGCCCACTCCCGGGCTCCGCCCACTCCCGGGCTCCACTCAGCAGGTGTAGGCACTTCGCATTCTGCATGGGGCGTGCCAGCCGGTCCAGGGACCGTGTGGTGCGGGAGGACGATGCCGGGCGGGGCACCTGCTCACACAGGGGAACCACAGGGAGGCTTGGGATGGGAGCCTCGGGCGCGGGTGACAGTCCCCACTCTGCCTGCAACACGGCTGCGGGATCTTGGGCAGCTACCCTGCACTTTCTGGGCTCCATTTCCTCATCTGAAATTTTGAGTTGTCTTTGCCCTGCCTCTCTGGAAGGGTTCTTGGGAGGATGGCATGAGGTCAAGGTTGCCGAAAGGATTCTCAGGGCAGATAGGGCTGTGCAGACATGGACAGTGAGGTGGGGAGGGGGGCGCACCCCAGACTCCCTGCCGGTGACTGAGGCCCCAGCCACAGAGCTGGTCTTGAAATGCCTGAAAGAGGACCCTACGGTCTTGCAGAGTTAAGTTTCAGGAGGCAGGAAAGCTCAGATAGCCACAGGTTCGAGTCCAGCCCACCATGTGCCATCTCTAGCATTTTGGGCAAATCGTTTAAACTCACTCTGTTTCATCTGTGTAAATAAAATGGGGATAATAAGGTGTCAGGAAGTCTAACTGGGGTCAGAAATGTCGGGCGCTGGGCCCGCTGCTGACACCTAGGATTTCCCCTGTGTCCTCACCCTGAGATCAGGGAGCAGGCCAGAAAGCACCCTGGGGCTGTCCCCAGCAGGGCTCTGTACCATGTCACATTTGATGGGGCGGGGTCCTGAGGGGTAGAGCAAAAGGGAAGGAGGCCCTGAGGGGACGTGGAGGCAAGCCCGAAGATAGGGCCCCTCCAATGGGGCTCTGACCGGGTCTTCTGTCCCCCTGCCAAATGGCACATCCTGGGCCCATGCCAGGGGCCTGCCTGCTGCTTGTCTGCTCAGCCCCCCAAAGGCAGGGCAGCCCCCTGCACCTGCCCATGTCTCCAGGTGCAGCTTCTTCAGCACAATGTAGAGAAAGAGGAAGATGGTCTGCACGAAGAAGGAGAGAGTGCTGGCGAAAGCGGAGCCCCTGGGAAAGGAGAGAGAGCAGGGCTAGGGCCAATGTCCAACTCTGGCCCTGGGGGTTGGGGCTCCCCTGCTGAGCCAGCATGGAGGGGAAGGGGGCCCAGGCATGGCTCAGCTAGCATCCCCATCCCGGGATCGGCCACAGGACTCTCTAGTGCCGTAGGCACCATGACGACAGAGTCCCTGGAGTCACCGTGCCAAGTCTCCACTCTCGGCCTTTCCTGGTGGGCTGGGGCACGGATGAAGAGGGCTCCTCTCCTCTTCTCCTTGGTGAGGAGTCCCCCAGAATCTGAGGGACCAGTAGGACCCCCAATTCCTCATGACACCCCACTTCTGGATGACTGAGGCAGCCCCTGTGGTTCTCGTGAGGTGAGGATGGTGATTGATCCGCCCCACTCAGGGGTGGGGTGCCTGGGGGACAGTGGTCCCTGATGGGGCCCCTGAAGCCCCCCAGTCCCAGAGCTCACCTGACCCCCAGTCTCAGCATGGAAACCAGGATGTAGTTGGCCAAGCCATTGATGCAATTGCCCACAATGCCACTGAAGACTTGGGGCCAGACGATTCCCTGAAATAAATGAAGGGGGTGGGGGGGAGGGGCGAGGGGTGTGGCCCAGCCCAGGCATATCCAGGGGTTGGAAAGAGGCCGGGGCCATGCAGCTCCTTGCTGGGCCTTGATCAGGCTCAGAGATCATGCAGAAAAGCCCCAGGCACCCCTTCCCATTGGAATGGGGCAGTGTGCTGGGACCAGGGGTCATCCCTCTAGCCAGAGAGCTGTACCTGATTTTGTAAATATTTTGCCAGCAGGACATAAAGGAAAAATGCCTGTGTAAAATAAAAACAAAACAAAACAAAAAACCAGACACACAGATAAACAATGACTATCTCAAAGCACGAGATGACCATCAACAGGAATTTCTTTGATACCTGAGTATGGTGCTCTTACTTCACCAAAGTGTGCCCGGGGCCCCCTGGGGTGGGCTGAAGCCCGCTGAGCCATCTCGGGTGCTTTCGCCCTGCCTAGGAGGATAAAAGCCCCCTCGGGGCTCCTGCTTGGCCGCAGAGAGGGACAGATAGGTAGGGAGGGTTGGCTCCAACAGAGCACAGCTCCGCAGGCTTGTGTAAGAGGCCGAGCATCTGGCAGAGAGCTCCGGGCTGCTGACCCTGACCATCCATCAGCTCAGGGAGGCCATCCAGGGGCCGGCGCACAGAATCACCCAGCAGAGCCCCGACCCACAGGCTGTGACCACCCTTGAGCCTGGCTCCAGCTGCTGAAAACAATAATCTGGGGGGAGTGGCCTCGGGCTGGTAGGGGGTGAGAGGGGGGCTGAGCAGGGTGGCCATCAGTAGTCCTGATTGAGTAGGCTCAAGTCCCCACAGGGTGGCAGGAGGACAGAGAGGGCATGTGTGCTGGGGGCTCCGTTCCCGCCCCTCTTCTGTCCTCTGTCAAAGCCTGGCCCTGGGCCTGTGCCCTCCTGCCCTATCCCTTCCCTTAGGCCTCTGGTTCACTTCAGTATAGCCCAATGCTTAAGAGCAAGGAGCCGGAGCTAGATTGCCTGCGTTCAAGTGCTGGCTCTGCTTTCTCATGAGCTGTGTGATCTTAGGCAAGTTGCTTAACCTCTCTGGGCCTCAGTTTCTTCATCTACAATGGGCATAATCATCTCTGTGAATACTGCATATTCATCTCTACATATATATGTGAAGTTATAATAACATCAGATGCTCACAAAACAGTAAATGGCACGTTTAAGCACGCCAAGTGTTAGGTAAGCATTATGTAAATGATACTTGGCACTTTTATTATTGCTTTACTGGTCAATTTTACAGCAACATTTTATGGGAGGGACTTGCTTAATTTGATAAAGGAGTTGCTATAGTGATAACATTATAGGATGTTTTCCCCTGGCCCAGCCCCACTGGCCCTGTCTGGCAAGATGCTAAAGGAGTGCTGTCGTTCCAAGGATGCCATCCCCGACCCACCACCTCCCGCCAGTCACTATGTCTCGCTAAGCCTCAACAAATCAAAGAGGGTAGCAGTGGATTCCTGAGCAGACATACCGACCACTGGGGTTGGCCGGAAATCTCAGAAACGGACTTGACGAGATGCCCTGCTTAGCTGGTATTTAATAAATTAATGGAGAAAGGAGAGAATACGCAATCATGAGTCCTAGTTAAAGTTTGTTAGCTAGATTAGAACCTTAAGGATAAGAATAAAAACCATAGGAAGGCTCAAAGACCACACAGAGGCAAATGTTTATATAATCTTGCAATGACAGGGGAGTAAGTGTTTTTAAACTCATCAAAGACCCCATAAAGAAGAGGGTTATGGATCTGTTATGTATACATTAGAAATTCTTTAGTCCAAAAATACTAAAAAATTAAAAGGCGAGTGACAAGCTTAAAAAATGAAAAAAGTGTGTGCCATATAGGACAAAGGGTTATTAGTTAACAAGAGTTATAATAAGTAGAAAAGGTTTGACCCAGGAGCTCCTGGGTAGCTTGGTCCATTAAGCATTGCACTCCTGTTTCCACTCAGGTCATGATATCAGGGTCGTGAGATCAAAGCCTGCGTCGGGCTCTGTGCTCAGTTGGGGGGAGGGGTAGGGTCTGCTTGAGATTCCCTCTCTCCCTCTGCCCCTTCCTCCCTCCCTCTCTCTCTAAAATAAATAAATAAATCTTTAAAAAAAAAAAAGATGAATCCACTAAAATAAGCAAAGGGAATGGACAGTTCACAGAAGAACAAAATGATCAATAAAGACATAAAAAAAGGTTCATTAGCAATTAAACGCCTGTGACAACTATTTTGGATCGGAAAAAAAATGTTAGTAACAATACTCTGCACTCACAAGAGTGTTGCTAGTGGGGGAGAATGGGTACCGATTAGTATCAAAAGCCATTGCCAGAGCAACTCCAGTTTCCATAAAGCACCCGAAGGAAATCGTTACAGATGTTCAGGAAGATTTTTCTTTTTCTTTTTTTTAATATTTTTTTTATTTGTTTGACAGACGGAGATCACAAGTAGGCAGAGAGGCAGACAGAGAGAGAGAGGGAGAAGCAGGCTCCCCGCTGAGCAGAGAGCCCGATGGGGGGCTCGATCCTAGGACCCTGGGATCATGACCTGAGCCGAAGGCAGAGGCTTAACCCACTGAGCCACCCAGGTGCCCCCAGGAAGATTTTTCTGTAAGAGTGTTTATCACACTCTTCTTTCCAATAGTGAGTATTGGAAACAACCAAAATGCCTGCCAGAAAGGGACTGGTCAACACATTGTGGCAGCACTAGAGGGGGCTTCATAGCCTTCAAAATGGATGCGGAAGGCTATTTATAATCATATCCAGAGAATAACAACATATCGGAAAGGGGAAAAGCAGGGTACAATATAAGTTACACATGGACCCTCTTTTCAACCACAGGTGTGCCCAGCGAACAGAAATAACCCTGGAAAGAGTGATTACCCTTTATTCTCTCTGGGAGGCAGGACCAGAGGTGATTTAAAATGTTTAGTTTCCACGCCTCCCACAATTTCTCCAATGAAAGGTTTTCTAATCAGAAAACATGCTACTTCTTAAATGGGCAATCTTAAATGGACTGGAAGGAGACCCAGATTCCCCTCTCGCCTTCCGCTGGCCTCAGTGGCTGTGGGCTCATGGGCCTTCCCAGCATACAGCATGGAAAAGCATGGATGAGCAGGGAAAAGCATGATCGAGCAAACAGCCAGAATCTAAGGGAGTGGAAGTCCACCCTCCTCCAGGCTCGCCAGCCAGAGGCACTTACCGGAAGTGCCGGAATGAAGATCAGCACATACTCCTGGGTTAGCCTGCAAGAGAGCCAGAAGGTCCAGAGCCGTCTGGGCTGTGCCCTCCGCAACAGGGGCGGGGACTGGGAGGCTGCCCGAGGAGCACTCTGGGCGCCCCAGGTTTGAGGAGAACCTTTGCCTCTACCTCACAGGGTGCCACTACTATGTGCTAGGAAGGTTCCAGGAGGGGTGGGAGGGTCCAAGGTCCTAACCATGGGGCCGACGTGGCTGGGTAACTTCAATTGGAAGTCACATGCGGTGTGTAAGAGGGGGCGGGGAGAAGCAGAGAGTTCATCAATCTAGAAGCAAATGAAGTGCACGTCCTACAAAACGAACAAGGTATTCCCAAGTGGGGGCACAAATGCAAATACCTTCTCTTTTCTCCTTTTCTCCCAAATTAAAATTGGCCTCGTGTCTGCCCCCTGCTGGCCTCAGCTGGAGCAGCATGCCAGGAAGGGAGAGATGGGAATGCGGGGATCCTGGAACCTTCCCCCTACAAGCTGCACCTGTGACTGCTGGCGACCCAGAGAAGCAAGGGTGGGGGTGGGGGTGCGCTAGGGAGTGGTCCTCTTTAGGGAGTCCCGGCAGAAGCCAAGCCGTACCTGGACACGGCTGGGTCCTGCCGGAAGAGCAGCAGAATCTGCTGGGTGTTGAGGAAGAGGGCCCAGCAGGGGAAGCAGCAGAGAAGGAGAACCAGGGTTCCCCTTTGCAGGATGACCCCCACGTGCTTCTTGTTGGGGCTGCCGAAGCTCTGCAAAACAGCTCAGTCCTGGGTCAGGCTGCCCATACCTTCTGTACCTGCCCTCTGGCCCCTGGGGGAGGCCAGCCAGGGCGTCAACCTCCTAGCCGCGCTAGTGCTGTGGGGATGGACCCAGGACACTGTTGGCAGCTGGCCAGGCCTGAGGAGCGGGTGTCTGGCACCCCCTGATTACAGCCTGGAGGGGCCCCTCTGGGCTCAGCCTGCTCGCAGAATTACAACAGCGGTATTTACCGAGCACTAGCTCCACACCAGGCCCTGTGGCCAGCCTCTGTCTACCCCTTGTCCCCAGGTCTTCAAAAGCCCCTACCAAGGAGGGCCTCATTCTCCCGAACACAGCTAGAGCAAGGGAAGCTCCGAGAACATCTGTCAAGGCTCCATGATGCTAAGTGGCAGCTAGGACCAAGCCTAGGTCCCCAGGTCCACTGTGAGTCCAGACCCCTCTCCCTAGGAAAGCTGAGCCCCCCTGAGCTGTTGGCCTCCGAGGGCGGGAGGGTTCCCACAGGTGAACCCTCTGCATTTGACACCTGAGGTCAGGGAATGACCTCTATCCCGTTCCCTCCACGGCTCTCAGACTCTTTCTGATGGGTCGTGTCCCTGATAGCATTGCGGTCCTTGCAGGTGGGCCGGGAGCAGCTGTCCCCGGGGTCTCTTTGATGGGCTCCCAGAGCCAGGGGTTACTGAAGGGCCTTCAGTGGGCGCCCTCCTGCCTGGCTCCCGGAGGCCCACCTACCTGGGACATCAAGGTGTCACATGCTGAGGACAAGCCCAATCCTATGGAAACTCCACAGACATTGACAAACTGGAACCGCGCATGGGAGAGAACACAGGGCTGGTCAGGGACAGGGGGCCGAAGGAGGGGAACCCAGGGGGGCACCCGGTGTCTGGGGGCTGAGCCAGAGACCCCCTTCCTGCCCAGGCCCTGCCTGCACCTGCTGTGTGACACTGGCCAAGACCCTTCCTCCCCAGTCCCAGCTGTGAATACAGCCATCAGCCCTCCTGCTGTATCTCGGTGGGGGGGGGGAGGATGGGGGGATGGGGCGTCCCCACATGGTCCGGCTATACGCACGGCCACCGAGAGGGTCACTGACGCCAGCTCCAGCTTGCCCAGGTGCCCGCAAAACACCGAACTCACGACATGGATCATGAAGGTCAGCACCTGGAACAAAAACTGGGGGACAGTGGCCGGGGTCAAGGGCCCTGCACCGCCCAGCCCCACACTGAGGGGGTCTCGCACCAGAGACCCACCGAAAAACACGGCCACCGGCCCAGAGCGCAGAGAACTGAACCCAAACATCTCATAATCCCATGGTGTTGTTCATAATCATTGGTCAGTCCTCATACTGGGCTGAGTAACGGCTGTGTCCAGATGATGGGATTAGAGAGAAGTGTCCTTATAACTTTCCATTTCGTCTGGAACTTTCGTAAGGAGAGTGTACTGATTAGTCTTTATGGCGAGAAGAAAAAAAGTAAAGCAATTTTCCCATTGGAAATAGAATGGGCAGATGACCCCTTCTTCCCCCTGCAAACGGCAAGGGGGTGCCTGCAGACCCTTGCATGAATGGGTCTCACTGGTCATCCCAGGGATTTGACCCGGCCTTCCCATGTGTTTCTGGAGGAGGACATGCATGCCCCTTCGGAGTCGGGGCTGCTGGCTGCTGAGCGAGGTCAGGCCCAACGACCACCCCAGGCACTGTCTGAGGACAGCTGTCCTGCTGTCTGTCACCTGCTCTGGGCGGTGGTCCCTGGTACAGCCCGCACATGGTCAGCGTGGGCAGTTTCTGGGGAGGGATGTGAGCAGCTCCTGGCACAGTCCCCATCACATCTGGACAGCGGCCAGCCCCTATCCTTACCGCCTACCCGCCCCCAACTTCACCCTCTTACCAGGGGTCCGGAAAGGACGAAGAGCGTCCACACCTCGGCCCCAAAGCCAATGGGGACCAGCCTGCGGAGGACAGGGCAACAGCCCCCTCGGTCTTGGGGGGCTGTGTCTTGAACGCTGTCCATTCCGAGACCAGGCTGCTGTCCGTCCTGCATGCCTGGGCACTCTCCTCAGCCAGCCTTGCCCAGCCAACCCCATGTCACCTCGTGGCCTGGCTAATGAGTAAGGGACAGGAGGAGGGGCCCCTGCAGCAACCTATGGAACAGGTCCCGTCTCCTGGCACCATGGTCCAGTTGCCCAGCCCACTGGCTCTGTCACCAGGGGAGGATGGCATGGAGACCCAGGCACCTGGGATCACCCAGGCTGATGTCTGTGGGAGGCTTGGGTCTGCTGTCCCGGGGCGGTCAGCTGCAAAGCCCCAGGAGGAGATTTGGGGCATTATGGGGGTGTGCGGGTTCTGGGGGCGAGTGTGGGACGGCCTGGCTAAGGCTCTGGGCATCTTATACTCTGGCATGACTGTGCCCAAAATGACTCCCGCTCCATAGATGGAGCAATGAAGACCGCCCACCCATACCCACCCCTGCAGGGAGGGAGCGGCCAGCAGGACCCAAGGACACAGCCCCTGTGGGAGCCGGACGGAGAGAGGAGGAGAGGGAAGAGAGAAGGGTCAGGATGCAAACGAACAAGGTTTTGGAGCGCACGCTGCTCCCCCCTCTCCCCACGCACACGCAGACCCTTGCTTCACTCAGACTCCCAAATGCTCCGCCACTCTGTGCACCCCGGCAACCTGGGCGACCGCTCTTCCTGCCCCCATTCTGTCGAGCGCCTAGTGCGAATTTCTACAACCCCCACATGACACAGCAAAACTAGCTGCCACTGACAAAGAGGAGCAAGGAGACATTTTATTAACGTTGCAGTGATTAGCGTGTGACCGGAACAAGGCAGGGCCATGGGCTGTGTGGCTTGGGGCTACGATACGTTGTGGCTCCTGTGATGCCTTTTCCAGATCTTCTCACCTTTCTGGGCTGGTTTGGCTTTGACTCTTGAAAGGGTGACCAAAACCTTTTCCTTCATTCCCGGGCACCTGAGCCTCAGGGGTGGGGGTGAGGAGGTCTTTGTTAGGTGACACCTGCTGTCCCCAGACCGGGGTGTCCCGCCAGTCTAGGCCCTCTCCCCCACTCCTGCGGCTGTGAAGTGACTTGGTCCTCAAAACCATTCCCACAACCATTCCCACAAACGTTTCCCAGGATTCTTACATAAGCCAATAATGCCTACATTTCCCTCTGGATAAAGCCCTTCTTTCCCACACTGCTTTCAGGCCCCAGTGTGTCTGGGGTCCAGGCCTGGGGTGTTAGGAACAGGGACTAGGGCCCAGGGGCCATGTGGGTGCTGCCTCAGGCACAGGGGCGCAGTGGGAACGGCCTCGTCCAGGTGGGGCGTTTCAGGATCTAGAATCTTCAAAATGCTCCCAGATGACAGAGGTTGCCAAGATTTCCAGAAAACGGTCTGGCAGGCTGCAGACCCAGCCTCCGTGCCTGGTGTACTGGGACTCCAGCCAAGGCAACCAAGGTGGAGTTGAGCAGCATCTCAGAGGCCCTGGCACCCTCCTGCAGGGAGGTAAACGCTCGGGGGTGGGGGTGTCAGCTCCCCTCTCCAAGCTGCCCAGCGATATTATGAGCAGAGAGCAGCGGTGGCGGAGGTAGGGGGTTCCTGTCCCCACATCCCCTTGGGCCTCTGACAACACACACCACACAGTTCAGCCCTGGGGGAACAGGACCATGAAGCCCCATGACTTGGGGAGCCTCTCATTTCTTGGGGGTGACCTTCCCCTTGGGGTCCCATGACCCACAATGTCCTGCCTCATGCCAAGTTCGGTGCCAATCACAGTTCTTTGGTGGAAACAGTAGAAACTCCCTTGAGATTCATGCCAGAAGAGCAAGGAAGGGGGCAGGATCAGGGATGAGGGGGCTGGTGGGGAGCCGGATGGGGATAATGGTCAGCAGGTAATCATTGGTGGAAGAAAGCTGAGCACTCAGCCTGGAAAACAAGAGAATCCGGGCAACTTTGGACTCCAAGCTCCCGAGATGACTCAGCAGCAAATACCTTCCATCCCAGAAGCCAATGCTTGGAAGACGGAACAGGAGCCAGCCGGTGCTAGTGCCGGGAAGGGAAGAGGAGCAGGCAGGGAGTGGGGTGCTGTGGCCACCTGGAGTGGGGCAGTGGGCTCTCCCAAAAGATGGGATGCCCTGCAGCTGGAAAGAAATCCTTCATAGTGGATCCACCCCACCCCCCGCAAAAAAAAACTTAGTGTCTTAAATCAGCCACCTTCTGTGTGATGAGTCTGGGCTGCTGGGATCAGCTGGTATGAGACCAACGGGCAGGCCTGGGCCAGACAGTTCACGGGGGCTGGCAGGGGTGCGTGCTGAGGGCTACCCTGCCCACCGGGGTCTTCCTCCACAGAGTCTCCCTGGGCCACTTGGACTGCTCACCGTGCAGGGTTGGCTTGAAGAGAGAACATTCCAGAAGTGCAGAAGGCAGGTGCTTTCGTGTCAAGACATAGGGTGGGGGGGGCCGGACCTGACACGGGTCACTTCTGCCTGTTGGCCCGAGCTAACCACAGGGCCTGCACAGACTAAACAGCTTCCGTTTCCAGACTGGGAAGAGTGGCAGGGGACCCTCAGCGTCTGTGACCCACTGCATTCGGGCACGCTCACTCCCCTCCTTCTGCCCCATTCTGCCTCCCCCGTCCGCCTCTTCCCCACAGCCCCTGCCCAGCAGGGGTGGACAGATGAATTCCTCCTCCCGCTGAGGGGGCCCCGGGGCCTTCTTCCTCCCACGGAAGAAGGACCTCAAGCCACAAATCCTGGGGTTAGTAGGAGGTGGGGTGAGGAGGAAGGGGGAGGGAGAGTCATTGTAAGACCCCCCCCCCAACACACCCTGGGGTTAAAGAGGCTTCAGCCAAGAACGGGAGCCTCCTCCCTACTCCCCCCGGGGTAATGGGTCCCCTACACGGAGCCTCACTGTACCACAAGGCATTCTTTTTTTTTTTTTTAAAGATTTTTAAATTTATTTATGAGAGAGAGAGAGAGAGCGAACATAGGCAGACAGAATGGCAGGCAGAGGCAGAGGGAGAAGCAGGCTCCCTGCAGAGCAAGGAGCCCGATGTGGGACTCGATCCCCGGACGCTGGGATCATGACCTGAGCCGAAGGCAGCTGCTTAACCAACTGAGCCACCCAGGCGTCCCTGTACCACAAGGCATTCTGAGTGTCCTGGGAAGAGCTTACAGCCGTGGGGTAAGGAGACACGTTTGGAACCAACCAGAAGCCCCTGACCTAGGCAAATCCCACGGCCCAGAAAACTCAGGAGGTCTCAGGCTCCCCGGCTGCCACAGGCCAGCATAGAGTGACTCCAGCAGCACTTTGAGGATAAGGCCCACGGTGCGGGGCGGGAGGCTGAGGTGGGGGCCTGGGCCTGGGTCTGCCCTCAGGTAACTGATTGCCCCGGGTGCTACAGCAGGTGCCAGGGCCTCTGTTAACTTCTTTCTTCGCTTGGTTACACTTCACCAGGACTGACCCTATTGTTTGCCCTTTGGCTACCCTAAGCCCCACATCCCCAGCTGGGGAGCCAAAGTTTCTCTCTCTGATCGCCCCCCTCACTGCCCCTTGACTGAAAAAACTCCTAGTTGTCCACTGGGGAGAGTGGCGACTCTGGCCTTCTGGTCCCTCAGCCCCACATCCAGCTTCAGGACAAAGGACAGTTGGAAAGGACAAGGTGTCTGCCTCCTGCCTGTCCCCAGGCTGCCAGCTGAGTGGTGACAGACATCTCCCTGACCAAAATGCCCGAGGCCGCTCAGACACCCCCAAGGTAGCTGCTTCCTTCTCTTTCTGTGTCCACCCAGCACCTCTCCTCTCCCGGCCTCACCCCTTCATGCCCTCCTCCCACAAGGCTTCACTGGACGCCTTCCTCACAGAAACGCCCAGAGCCCCGTCCTGACAGAAACTTAAGGCACTTCCAGGCCTGGAGGTGAGTTGGGGGGGCAAAGCTGTGAGAGCCTCAGCAGGAACAACAAGGTCCCTAGTGAGACCTCCCAAGGGCAAGGCTCCCCAAACCCCAAAGATGGCGGGGGGCATTTCCTACTGGGAAAAAGTCCACAGGAATAAAGATGAAGATTCAGCCCTAGAGAGAAACAGGCTCTCCAGCCATAAAAAGACAGGGAGGCCCCTGAAATGTGTGTCGCTGAGTGAAAGAAACCAATTTGGAAAGGCTGCATACTGAATGATTCCGATTATGCGACACTGACTGGGGACAGTAAAAGGATTGGTGGTGGCCCGAGGCGGGTGGAGAGGGAGGGCTGAACGGTCGGGAAGGAGAATTTTTCGGGTGGAGAAACTATCCTGTACGATACTAAAACAGTGAGTCCATGCTATTACATATCGATCGAAACCTCTAGAACGTACACCATCAATACTGAACGCTGGTGTACATGTTGGACTTCAATTAGTAATCTGTATCCATACTCAGTTATAATCCATGTACCACCATCCTCTTGGAAAGAATTAATAATTGGGAAAAGCAGGGGTGGGTGGGGAGGGGGAGAGAGGGGAGTCAAAATAAAGCTATACTTTTCGTACAATTTTTATATGAATCTTGAAGTGCTCTAAAACATAAAGTCTATCGGGGGCACCTGGGGGGGGTTCAGTGGGTTGAACGTCTTGATCTCTTGATCTCAGCTCAGGTCTTGATCTCAGCATTGTGAGTTCAAGCCTGGTGTTGGGCTCCATGCTCCCATAATAATAATAATAATAATAATAATAATAGTCTATTAAAAGCTGAGAAACCAAGTCATTATAAAGGGGTAGCGTTTACTGAGGTTTAAGGAAAATACCCTCCCCCTTGTTGCTTAGTTTAAGAATGCCATGGTAGGGTGCGGCACAGTCACCAAAAGCGGGGACCACCCGAGTGTGCATCGACCTGATGGAGGGATGAACAAAGCGGGGTCTGTGCGACAATGGGCTTTTATTTACCGTAAAAAGGAAGGAAATGTGGACCTCGCGTACCACGTGGACGAACTTGAAAACATAAGGAGTGGAAGAAGCCCGTCACGAAAGACCACGCAGCATGTGATCCCGCTTGCAGGAAATAGCCATTAGAGGCAAAGCCACACAGATAGAAAGTAGATTCGTGATTTCCTA